ATCATAAAATCCTGCTGGATCAAGCCAATGGCCCACCTAACCCAGCCCCCTGTTGCCACAGGCAAATGGAATCCAAGCCCAAGAGCCCTCTCCCCTCCTGGGGTTTTCAGCAACTAGCATTCAGAGAAGCATTGCTGCTTCTGACCATGGAAGCAGAACATAGCCGTTATGGCTAGTAGCTACTGATAGCCTTATCCTTCGTGAGACAGGGTTGGAGTCCGTAAGCAAAAATGCCAACCCTTAAAAAAAAACTTCAGGAAACCGTCATGCAATGTTCATGCCATTCACCATCATGTGAAGCCAGTGTGGTGTAGTGGTTAAGAGCGGTGGACTCATAATCTGGTGAAACGGGTTCGCATCTCCGCTCCTCCACATGCAGCTGCTGGGGGACCTTGCTGGGAGACACTTCTCTGAAGTCTCTCAGCCTCACTCACCTCACAGAGTGTTAGTTGTGGGGGAGGAAGGGAAAGGAAAATGTCAGCCGCTTTGAGACTCCTTTGGGTAGTGATAAAGCGGGTTTTATCAAATCCAAACTCTTTAAACTCTTCTTCTTCATGTGGGCAATGGTAGCTGATCCATTAAGGCCCTTCTGCACCAACCTCGTTCTCCAGCTAGCATCCACCTGCCTGCCTTTTAACCAGTCCAGGGGGTGGCACTGCCTGTCAATTCTTCCTCCTTCGGCTCAGTGTTGCTCTTTAAGAACTCATCAGGGTGCAGGATGGGGACAAAATTGGGGAAAGTGTCTGTCATTCTCTGGCTCCATCTACTCTTGGTCTCCCTGCTTTCTGCCCTGCCAGTCCCAATGGGCTCTGGCTGCCATTTGCCTCTTCACTGCCCCCTCCAAATCCAAAATTTACTTGCCAGCACAAAACACATTCTGAAGCTTGGCAACCAGCTGATAGTTCTACATGAGGTGCTGAGTGTAAAGATTCCACCCCTCAAAGAATTCTGGGCACTGTAGTTAATTAGAGGTTGCTGAGAATTCTAACTCTATGAAGGGTAAACTGCCCAGAATTCTTTGAGGGAAAGAATATGCTTTGAATGTGCTTTAAAGGTTTGGCATACCCTACACAGCCAAAGTTTATGTTTCTATGAAAGTTTCCTTTCTATGAAAAGGAAAAAAAAATTGTATCTCTACATGCAATTGAGAAATAATGTAACTTCAATGTCAGCAAGATAATTTGAGTCCGCACCAATTTACCATTAATAATAATAATCGTAATAATAATAATTTATTATTTATACCCTGCCCATCTGTCTGGGTTTCCCTAGCCACTCTGGGCAGCTTACAGTACATATAAAAACATAGGAAAATGTCAAACATTAAAAGTTTGAGTCACTTGCATTTGAATATCTATCATATCTATCTGTGAAGGCACCCAGATATTCTACCTGCAGTCAAATTAGCTGATGCTGCTGTTACCCAAGATTACAGCACCTGAGGTTACAACCCTCAAAGGGAAACCCATGTGTGAACAAGTCTTACATTTGTTATGTGTGTTGTTTTGCCTGTTTTCCTTTGAAATGTCAGGTATCAACTGTTGCCAGGTGCAAGAGATGTTAGGTGGATCTGGCAGAACAGTTCGTGCTACCTGCTTGGCTTACTAACAAGTAATTATTATTACCAAAGAGAACACAAGTCAGCATCATTGCAGAAGAGTGGGAGATACTTTATCATGCCTCTTCCATACGCCAACAAGGAAAGTGCTATCGTGCTGCTGATTTTCAAATCAGAATTACAGGTGCCGCTGATAGCGAGCGCTGAGCCATGAAGCTGCAAGAACATGGCTCGATTCTCAGATACCACGCTGAGTTCTGCTTCTGGTGTCGTTAGGAATAATCTTACAAAATGAGCAAATGTGAATATGGAGCATAACTATGGGAAGCAGAAATGATATTCAGCTGCTTTCAGATAAGCCTAGTACCCAAGTAGAAATTTCTGTACTGATAAAACTAAGCAACATTCTGATTTGGTTTGATTCCTTTCCCCACTTTCCTTTTGCAAAGGAAAAACATTGCAACCTTCGCATCCTAACAGTGCAATCTTTTACATATTTACTCAGAAATAAATCCCAACATGGTCAATGGGTCCAGAGAAGAGTGTGTAGGATTGCAACCCAAATTAAGGACTCAGCTACATTAGTAAAAATAAAATGTTATAAATGCGTTATAGCACTGTGATGCCAGATGGCGTTGTAGAGCTGAAATCAGAACTCTGTGAAATTTTCCATTGTGAGCTTTAAAGCAGTTTTTTCCGGAGCATTTTCAGAGTGTTTTTTACAGCTGTGTAGATGCAGCCTAATAATCTGATACTAATTCAGAGAATAAAACATCTCTTTCTTCTTTCCTTCTTTCCTTCTTTCCTTCTTTCCTTCTTTCCTTCTTTCCTTCTTTCCCAGTTCTATAATGTACTATAATGAACTTGCACTCAATATGACAATGCAGGTTTACTAACACCTGAAGCTCACTACTTCTCTTGTTGAAATCGCCACCAGCATGGTTAGAATGTGGGAAAGGGTACATATTGTCACCCCACTTCTTTCAATATGGATGAAATGAAGGTTCTAATCTTCACCAGTGATCTTGACTAAGGATCCAGGCAATGAATCCCATTCATGGCCATGACCCATACACCATTTGCATCATAGGTTATGCAGCAACTTAAACAGCAACAAGGTCATTTCTGCACACACAAACACAGCTGTGTTTCAAATTGCATCTTTACATTGCTATACACACCATGGGGGGGGAATATTTAGGAAGTTTTTTTATGTCTGATGCTTTTAATGTATTTTTAATCTTTTGTTGGAAGCCACCCAAAGTGGCTGGGGAAACCCAGCCAGATGGGTGGGGTATAAATTATTATTATTATTATTATTATTATTATTATTCACCCAATGCCCATGACCTGATTTGTTTCCCCGCATCTGAAACCTTCCCAACTTCTATTCAAATAAGCTGTAACCTACACAAACGTGATGGATGTCTTACATGTACACAGGTTTTTAAGTGAGATGGAAGCTGGTTTGAATGGGACTGCATCACAGGATGTTTTCAGATTTGGTTTATCTGTACATGAATTAAGAGAAAAGTCCTATGAAACCTAAGGCAGTGCTCCCAGCAACGCTTGAAAATGATGTTCCATTGAAATCAGTGGGACTCAGAACAGAGTCACAAATGCAAGCTTGCCATACAATGGCTCGCCACTGGATTAATCCACAGCATACATTGACTTGCAGTGGATGTATGAACTGCCTCAAGTTAAGTGTGTTCTTTCAAGTGGTCTGCCTCTTTGGCAGCACAGTCTGTTGTAGGGAAAAGAGAAAATAAAGCTCCATCCTCCCAAAACATATCTAGCTCGTTCCACTATCAGTATATACATTTTATGGTATTCTGCACGGTTACATGTGGTGGCTGTTTCAGACATAAAAGTTACCACTTGACATCACAGTCATGAACTGTGAGCTCAGTTTCCTTAGCAAATGTGTTTAGGATTTATAGTGAAAATACTTTCATTCTTTTACACCACGTACTGTATTGGAAAGGAAATGTTGCAAAAAAAGGGTCAGATTCCCTCTCTTTGCAGCAGATGGGCCTGATGCCTGCAAATTGTTTTTGCCATCATGAACAATGGACCCAGAGATATTCTGAAGAAATGAAGATGATAGGTGACTCCTGCCTCATCCAGCACCTTGCCTAAGAGTGCAAGGCAGCATGGGGTAAGGGCACCATCAAACCTGGCTTTTTGACCCTGAAAAAACAACAACAACTCTGCTCCCTCAAAGTGCTCCATGGATACCAAAACTGTGCACATGTTGCCATTTAGTCTGGTTCAAATGCACTCTCACCACTGGTGTTTAAAGCCAGAATTACAGGTGACGTTAGTTGCAATCTATAGGTATCTTGTTGTTTCTTGAGAAATTCTGATGTTTCATGCAGTGCTTTTTTTTCTTAAAAAATGGTTAGGGGTACTCTCATTTTGACTCAAGAAAATCACCATTTTATAGTTCAAATTGGGAAAAATACAGTAAATGGACAAAAGCACAAAGATTTACAAATTGTTTAGGGGTATGCGTACCCCTGCGTATCCCCCCCCCAAAAAACCCCACATTGGTTTTATGTGTTCTCCCTGCTGCGCCTCCACCAGCCCGAGGAGCAGTAGCCGACCACCTGCAAAACAGCTGAAACTTTTGCTACCATCTTCCTGCTTTGCCTTGCTATTGCTTCCCCCACACCATCCGCCCAGAGACAGAATTTTTTTAAAGGAAAATTCCCTTATTCCGAATAGGATTCCTCGCTAGAAAAGGGGAAAGTTGACAGCTATGTGGAGGATACTAGACCCACCCGCTGATTTACTACAGCTGGCCTTGACACCAGACTGCGGGGGGGGGGGATTAGAATGCTACTTAGCGGGCTAATTGTTTATTATTTGAGAATCATCAGTGTTGTTTGTTATTTATATCGTGTGTTGTTTTTATTTTTTCATGTTAGGTGTTAGACAATATACAGTACTGATGACCCCCCCCCCTTTCCCCCTATGGGGGTGGGTAGGTGGGGGTGTTGCTGTAAGTGGCTTGGAGACCTTTGGGTGACAAGCGACTAACAAATTTAATAAACCAATTCCTTCAAACGTTATCCAATGGACACATCTCCGCTTCACCGTGGCTTAACGTTTTCAAATGCAGTGCACGGAAGCATTATGCCGCAATGCTTCTTGCTCAAATAGGGGGCGCCTCGCTCTGCAGTGACACCCGCAGAGCGCCATGCAGACGACCACTTCCCGGGAATGCTTCTCGGAGACCGGCCCCGCTCGGATGAACCGCGACGCCGCCCGCTCCGCGCGTCTTCCGTTCCAGGCAAGTCACATGAGTAGTCTGTGCTCACTCTCCCCCCTATTCCCCCCTTTTTTTTACAAAATGGAACGGTCCGCGTTATGCTGCGTGCCGTAGTACGGATGAGGGGCGGAGCTGGGCTCCTGGCGGAACAAACCAATGAGCGGGAAAGGGGAGAGGGCAACTTTGCGGAAGGAGAAACGCGTTGTGTAGCCTTTGCGCGCGGCGGGATATTATCTAGCTGGGAGTCGAGAACCTGGCATGGGTGCCGTCAGAGGGCAGGAGCACCAGCCTCCTCAGGAGGTAAGGCTGAAGCGGCGGGGCTGCGTTTCCCTCTCGCAGGGCAGGCTGGCCTTTCCCTTGCGGGGGGCGCTTCCCTGCCCCGGTTTTGTCTATGGGCTGCAGTTCCCCATAGCGCTCTTGGGGGTGGGAGCTTTCCGGGCAGCGCTTGCTTTGCAAAGCGAGCCCGCAAGTCCTGTTGCCTTGCAAGAAACGCGCCCCGAACATGTCGAGGTTCGCTTCTGGGGAAGGAAGCGTGTATATAGGATAAGCGCAGCCAGGGGCGCAGGCTTCTCCAGGAAACGTTAGTCCTGGGGCCGGTGTTTGTGTGTATGACGGGGAGGAGAACTCAGCGAGTGGATAAATTGCCGGGCCAGTGTCACACTCTGCACATGCACAAGGCGCTTATCATTACTATTGCCTCAGATGTCTTCCTGGGCGGGTGCTTAGTTCGGTAAGCCCTCAATTTACAAGAGGGATCACGCCTAAAGTCAAAATCGCATATGGGTTCAGTGGAGGGTGGGATTACCAAAGTAAATTTCCCCTGAACGCCCCGTCCCCTTTGTGCCCTTTTTATTCATTTATAATTTTATTTACCACATGCATAAAGCGGAATGCAGTGGTTCCCAGCGTGGGGCACACGCCCCACAGGGGGCAATTCGATTTTTAAGGGGGGCAGTTCGAGAATGAGTTGCTAACAGTGAATTTTTTGCATTTCTTGTGGTTCTAGGGGCCTCATATACAGTATATAAATATATACAGTGGTACCTTGGGTTCCATGCACTTCAGGTTACATACGCTTCAGGTTACAGACTCCGCTAACCCAGAAATATTACTTCGGGTTAAGAACTTTGCTTCAGGATGAGAACAGAAATCGCGCGGCAGCAGCGGGAGGCCCCATTAGCTTAAGTGGTGCTTCAGGTTAAGAACAGTTTCAGGTTAAGAACGGACCTCTGGAACGAATTAAGTACTTAACCCGAGGTACTACTGTATTGTGACATACACATTTTAAAAATTAAAATCAGAATGCACACAGCGGTGACAATGGAGAGGTTATCTAAACAGAAAAGTTTGTCTAAACAGAAAATACACTGGGCACATTCAGGGGTAGTAGCGCTCCGGGGGGGGGGGGCAATCAGGTTTTTAGAGATGCTTAGGTGGGGCATGGCCAAAAAAAGGTTGGGAAGAAACCAGTGGCTGAATGCGAGCAAGTTAAATGCATGTAAGTTTGTGGGCTTACTGTATTGACAGACAGTACATCAGCTTCATTTGGGTGAGTGCAGACTGAATTAAAGCTCTCCTTCCAAACTCCCATGGTGTAACTGGAGGTTAGGAGGCTGCTTGGAGTTGCATATTCTCTGTTCCAGAGAATATTTCCCTGAGTGTCATGTCTTGCGCTTGAAATACCCTGTGGATCCTTTGGAGGTGGGAGTGGGGGAATGAAATACCACATTTTCTTTGCTTTTCAGAAATCGGTAATGGTAAATGTTTGCCACAGAGAACTGGATAGCTGTGTTTATTTTCTGTGAGCCTTTTCTATAGAGCAGTTATATGTCGTACTGTGAACGGACAGTCCACAATGTCGCACCACATCTAGAAGGCAAAAGTTGTTATTATAACAAATTTATTGGTACTCTGATGTGACTCAAGGCAGCTTACATATAAAATGAGAACTGATAAAAACATAGAAAAACATTAATTAAAAACAGTAAATCATTGTTAGAAGTAAAGTTCTGCTTTTTGTCTAGCAGAGCAGCCCTATGCATGGTTTCTGAGAAATAAGGCCCACTGTGTTCAGTAGTTACTTGGTCCCAGGACTGTAGTTGCTTCTCACCCTTTTGAAGAACATCTCACAGGTTCTGGGTGATGCGGGGAGTGGCAGCAGAGAGACCCTTTCTCTAGCAGTTTACTCCCATAATGTGCTTTAGTGCCAACATACACATACATGGAGCTGCATGTCTACCAACATACACATTTTTTAAACTCTGTCAAAATACAGCTCTGTATTGTAATACAGGCGGAGTCACTGTGGAGCTCTACAGATTTTCTTCCTCTTCTAAGACTACAGTTCCCATCACCCTTGACCATTGACTGTTCTGGCTGGGACTGATTGGACTCGTCATTGAACAACATCTGGAGGGCTGTCATGATGTATGAATAGCATAGCTTTGTGACCTTTGCAAGCATCCAGCTTGTACGCAAGTATAGACCAACTTGTAACATCAGCACCGGTCTGAAGTGGATATGATGTTTACTACATGCATTTTTTCTCTACTACTTACTACGACGACGACGACGACTACTACTACTTATCTTTATATGCCATCAATCTGACTTGGTTGCCCCAGCCACTCTGAGCGCCTCCCAGCAGAATATTAAAAACACAATAAAACTTTTATAAATTGCACATAATTTTGTGTTTTAAGATGATATTTCCCTCTCTCTCCAAATGACATGGCTGTTTTATCAGCCAGATTCATCTGATCTTCATTAGTGCAAGGGCTTCTGTCAGAAGTGCCTCAGAACACATGATAATAACAACTTTGGTGCAAACTTTACATTTCTTAGAGCTGGTGAGCTAGCAGAAGCTGGTGCAAGGACTCTTATTAGTTCAGTGGAACTTTCCCTCAAGCGCCAAGATTCAGGACTCTGAAAAAATACCAAATAGCTCAAGAGATATAAAACATTGTAAACATCAGTAATTCCACACTGCAATGGTGGTATTAGAAATGTAATGATTGGGCTAAGCTGTAGAAGTTTTAGAATGTTTTATTAAAGAATTTGGGAACTTGGTTGCATAGTCTATATAAGTGACAAATGCGTCTGTCTTCCTTGAGTTGAGGAACATTGGTTGCTTCATTATTCTTGTGTCTGACAGAATCAGAAATCTTAGCATATGCTACTGGAGGAAAAACCTGTGCAATAGTTGAACAGTTCTCATATGCCGGACTTCCACCATCTTGTTTTTGCAGGATTCTCTGGGGCTATGTGCATTGATATTTTTATAGCAGTTCCATAGGACGGAACCAGCTATAAAAGTATTAAAACTGTTTTACATTGTAGTCAACAGTATGTCTACTAAAATGAAATATTTTGCAAGAAATTTGTAGTATGTACACTTAGAAGAACATGGTTTTGTTTTTTTGAACATTGAATCAGTTTATTATCTGTTCTAGGTTGAAACCCGTGAAGATGAAGAGCAAAGTATTAAGCTGAGTGAAATTTTAGAGCTGCTGGTGGCAGCTGGATACTTCAGGGCAAGAATTAAAGGGCTGTCCCCCTTTGACAAGGTGAGAGTGTAACAAATTATGCACAAGGCATGCTTTAATTGGTAAAAAAAAAATTATCAGCAAGGGCTAATTTGTACAGATGAGTACAAATGTTTCCCAGATGGCTGTGAATTAAGAGTGCAATTTTAAAGGTGTTTTTTTAATAATAAAAATGAATCTCTTTTTATATGTGTCTCAATGCAATTTGCAAAGATACCATAAAAGCAGCTAAAATAGTTCAAAAATGGACAGAATGTGCAATCAGCATAAGCATTGTTGCTTGCCGGAGGGAATAAACCTCCCTCTTCTCTAGACGTTTACTGTTTTGGAGGTTCCCCTGACCACCCCAAGCCGATTTTGTGGGGTTCTGTGGGCGATGGAGAGGAATGCCCCGTGTGAGTGGAAGCCCTTATACAGTGCCCAAGAGCACTGCCAGGAACTGGTATTCAGAAGCAATACTGCCTCCAACTGACACTGGAGGCAGAACATAGCCATGGTGAAAATGTGACATTGGGGGGCTGTCTTTTGTGTTTCATTTTTAAATAAATGCACCAGATGCTTCTGTGTAACTTCTGCGTTCTTCCACCAAACATCTGCATGGGATAAAACGAGTGTGCTTGCCTTGTTCTAGGTGGTGGGCGGCATGACGTGGTGCATCACAACATGCAGTTTCGACATTGATGTGGACTTACTGTTTCAGGAAAACTCTACCATCGGCCAAAAAATGTAAGTGGGAGCTTGCCAGAAAGAGGTCTTACTTTCCAGTTGCGCGATGTGTTCAGTACCAGTCATATTTGTAATTGAAGCTTGCATAAGTGGTGACCTAAGCCTTAAGAATTATTATTATGTATTGAATTTCTATTTTTTAAAAAAAAAAAAAAATTTATTAGTTTTCCAAACATGTAATAAAGACAAACAACAAAACAAAACAAAACATACACAAAACATGTATAATTTCATAGACTCATTCTCCTTCACCTTGTTTCCCGGACTTCCCCATACCTCCCTTTTTCTGCATCCTTATTTTTCCCTTTTTAACAGCAACCCTTCATTTCATTATTAATTCGTCTTCATTATAGCTCCCTTAAATTTATGATATACAGCTGCAATTCTCTATTTCTTAACACCATAACATCTCAGCACTCTTCGATTTTACAACAGTTTTTAAGGTATACTTTGAATTTCTTCCAATCTTCTTCCACTGTCTCTTTCCCCTGGTCACGGATTCTGCCGGTCATCTCAGCCATTCCCATATAGTCAATCACCTTCGCTTGCCATTCTTCCAGGGTAGGTAGCTGCTGCGTCTTCCAATACTTTGCCAGAAGAATCCTTGCTGCTGTGGTAGCATACATGAAAAAAGTTCTGTCCTTCCTTGGCACCAATTGGCCCACCATGCCCAGGAGAAAAGCCTCTGGTTTTTTAAGAAATGTCCATTTAAGGACCTTTTTGATTTCATTATAGATCATTTCCCAGTAGGCCTTAATCCTCGGGCAGGTCCACCAAAGGTGATAGAAAGTACCTTCAGTTTCATTACATTTCCAACATTTATTATTGGGCAAGTGGTAAATTTTTGCAAGTTTGACTGGGGTCATATACCATCTATAGATCATTTTCATTATATTTTCTCTCAAAACATTACAGGCCGTGAATCTAACACCAGTATTCCACAGCCTTTCCCAGTCATCAAACATAATGTCATGACCTATGTCTTGTGCCCATTTAATCATAGCTGATTTTACTGTTTCATCTTGTGTATTCCATTTCAGCAGCAAATTATACATTCTTGACAAGTTCTTAGTATTGGGTTCTAACAATTCTGTTTCTAATTTCGACCTCTCCATCTGAAAACCTATTTTCCTGTCCTGTTTGAATACCTCGTTTATCTGAAGGTAGTGCAACCAATCTCGTACTTTAGACTTTAATTTATCATAACTCTGTAATTTGACCCTTTCACCATCTTGCTCTAAGATTTCACCGTATTTTGGCCATTTGGACTCCATATTAAGTTTTTTCGTCTCTTTGGCTTCCATTGGTGATAGCCACCTGGGAGTTTTACTTTCCAGTAGATCTTTATATCTTATCCAAACATTATATAGTGCTTTCCTAACAATATGGTTTTTAAAACCTTTGTGTATTTTTACCTTGTCATACCATATATATGCATGCCAACCGAATCTATTGTCATACCCTTCCAGATCCAAAATGTCTGTATTCTCAAGAAGTAGCCATTGTTTCAGCCAGCAAAACGCTGCCGATTCATAGTAGAGTCTCAGGTCCGGCAGGGCAAACCCCCCTCTGTCTTTTGCATCAGTTAAGATCTTAAAGTTTATTCTGGGCTTTTTGCCCTGCCAGACAAATTTTGATATGTCTTTTTGCCACTTCTTGAAACAGTCCATTTTATCTAAGATCTGAAGTGTCTGAAACAAAAACAACATTCTAGGCAATACATTCATCTTGATGACAGCAATTCGGCCTAACAAGGAAAGTCTCAACCGTGACCATATTTCTAGATCTTTCTTCACCTCTGTCCAGCATTTGTCATAATTGTCTTTAAATAAATTCACATTTTTAGAAGTCAAGTTCACACCCAGGTACTTCACTTTTTTTGTTATTACTAAACCTGTTTCCCTCTGAAATTTCTCTTTTTCTGCCATTGTTAAATTTTTCTCCAACACTTTAGTTTTCTGCTTGTTCAATTTAAATCCTGCTACTTGACCAAATATCTCAATTAGTTCTAGTACTCTTTTAGTACTAGTATCTGGCTGTTGCAAAGTCAATACAAGATCATCTGCAAATGCCCTTAGTTTGTAGTTTCTCGCTCCGACCTGAACTCCTTTAACCAATTGGTCCCCTCTAATCATGTTTAGCAAAACCTCCAGGACTGTTATAAAAAGTAAAGGGGATATTGGGCACCCCTGTCGTGTGCCCTTTTCTATAGGTATTTCTTCCGTAACCACATTGTTCACAATCAACTTTGCTTTTTGCTTAGAATATATAGCACCTATACCGTTTTCAAAACCTTGGCCTACCCCCATCCCTTGGAGATTCTTCTTCATAAAGGTCCAACAAATATTATCAAAGGCTTTCTCCGCATCCACAAAAATCAAAACCGCCTTTCTATTAATGTTCACTTCCAGCAATTCCAAAATGTCTATAATGTTCCTCACATTGTCCGACATATGTCTCCCTGGGAGAAAGCCTGTTTGGTCCTTATGAATCTCCCCTATCAGCACTCTTTTCAATCTTTTTGCTAAAATGTCTGCAAAAATTTTGTAATCCACATTAAGTAGTGATATAGGGCGGTAGTTTTTGACCTGGTTCTTTTCAGTCTCTGTTTTCGGTATAAGTGAAATAAAAGCTTCTTTCCACGATTCAGGTGCCTTTTTCCCTTCTAAAATTTCATTACAAACCTCCTTCAGTGGTTGTATTATCCATTCCTTCAATGCCTTGTAATATCTAGCCGTTAAGCCATCTGGTCCTGGAGATTTTCCCAACTGCATATTCTGAATGGCACCCTCTATTTCTTGTCCTGTTATTTTCTCATTCAAAATCATTCTACTTTGATCTGAGATCTTTGGTAGTCCATACTTCTTAATAAATTCTTCTATTTCCTGCACATCAACTGGCCCTTGTGCATATAATTTCCTAAAGAAACTTTGAAAGCAATTACTTATCTCATTTGGTTTGTGGATGATTTTCCCATCCATTTCCAAACTTGTCACAGTGTTCAGTTTTTGTCTCTTTTTCAATTGCCATGACAGAAGTTTCCCACATTTGTCTGCCGATTCAAATGTTCTTTGTCTCATTTGCTTTATTTTCCGTTCTATCTCTTGATTCATCAATTCCATATATTGCGTCTGATGGTACTTTATTTCTCTCAAAATCTCATGAGACTTTGGTTTAGACCTTATGTATTGAATTTCTATACCACCCTTCATCACAGGGTGGTTTACAATATAAAAACACAAAACTTGCATACCATTATAACTAACAATAAACTGCAATTTAAAAGGCCGTTGTTTGTTTAATTAGCCAAAGGCCTGGGAGAAGAGGAATGTTTTTGCCTGGTGCCTAAAGATATGTAATGAAGGAACCAGCCAAAGCTCCCTGGAAAGAGCATTCCACAAGCACGAAGCCACTGCAGAAAAGGCCTGTTCTCATGTTGCCACTCTCCTGACATCTTATGAAGGAGGCACACGAAGAAGGGCCTCAGAGAATGCTTGCAGGGTCTGGTTTGGCTCATATGGGGAGAGGCGGTCCTTCAAATCTGTTGTGCTCTCTATTTTTTGGTCTTACTGCCCCTGATGTGCCCTCCCAGTAATATAATCTCTTCTCATCCTAAGCCTGAAAGCGGCCATGAAAATAAAGTGAAATGTTTAAGTACAGCAGGAACATGTAGAAGCCCACACTTACTTTCTTCTGCCTCCTCCTTCTTTTTGCACTATTTAAATGTTAGGACTTTTAAATAAAACAGTGACAATTACAGTCGTACCTTGGAAGTAGAATGGAATCAGTTCTAGAAGTCCATTCGACTTCCAAAACGTTCGGAAACCAAAGTGCAACTTCTGATTGGCTGCAGGAAGCTCCTGAAGCCAATCGGAAGCTCTGCTGGACGTTCAGCTTCCAAAAATAGTTTGCAAACCAGAACAGTCACTTCCGGGTTTGCGGTGTTCGGGAGCCAAAACGTTTGGGAACTAAGCTGTTCCAAAACCAAGGTACGGATGTAGAGTGTTTCTATTAACACATGAATGTCTTAAACTGTTGTTACCGTGCGCTACCTTGGGAAGCTCGGAACTGATTAGATTTGTGTCCCATTGGTGCACTGGATCGAATTCACACTTGCTTAGCTTCATTCTAGAATAAGATAATCACAGACCATTCCCTGGACTGAAACTGAAAACATTTTATGAAGTAAAGATTAAGATTAACAGATTTAAAAAAGATTTAAAAAAGAAACAACAACCTTGATTTCCCCCCCTCAGTATATGTTTTTAATAAGAGTTTGCAAGCTTGTCTAAAGATGTTTAAAAAAGAAGTGCCTCCAGTCCTACAGATCAGCATTTATCAGGAAAGTTCTAAATTGCTTTGTGTATTCACTTTTTAAAATCTACTATTTGATTTCAGCCACTAGAGGGCAGTTTCAGGCTAGTTAAGGCTTTCCTTCCACCCAGTTTCACCTTAAGCTCTGTCATCCTTCACCTTCTTTCCAGTGCCTTGACTGAGAAAATTGTATCCGTCTTGCCGAGAATGAAATGCCCTCATCGCTTGGAGCCTCATCAAATACAGGGATTGGATTTCATCCACATATTTCCTGTTGTGCAGGTAGGTGCTCCTTGAAAAGTTGTTCCCCCCAACACCTCCGTATAGTAGGCCTGCTGATGAAAAACCATATTGTAACCCTCTTTCTCTCTCCCCTGCAACTCTAATAGCCACTGGGGCATGGTTTTGATCAGGAAACAACCAAGTAGAATGTGTGTTCCTAATCATAAACAAATGGTTCCACTAATGTGGGTAGGAGGCCCTCTAGATGCTGTGGGGCTCAAAACTCCCTTCAGCCCTAGCTAGTGTAACCATTTGTCAGGAATGATGAGAGTCTAGCAACATCTAGGTGGCTACCCAGTCCCCATCCCTGCACCATTGATTAATCCCTTTTGTAGCCTTGCAGCATTTCCTGTAACCAAAAAGTGTATGGAAAGAGATACTGCATCGCTGTTGCTTGCAGAGACTGTATTGGAAGCATAGTTCAGTCTCTGATTAGGTCCTGAACAAGGAGCAAGTTAGAGGCATCTTCTAAACCTAGTGTTTAACTTGGTATCTCAGAGTCTTTTATGTAATTGTTTCTATACCATCTTCTGTGAAATAAAAATAATTCAAAGCATTTAACCCATTTCCAAATTTGAGTCAATTATTAGCAAGACTCGGAGTGTTCAAATGTATTGCTATTGCCCATGTAAATGGGAACACTGTTGCTTTATAGTTTTATATGTGCTTGCTTTTCTCTGTCCTGGAACGTCATTTGCAAAATTGACGTTTCAGCCAAACCAAGCCAGGAGGGTGTTTCTGTGGCAAGTGAACCGGGATGAGTTCTTTGCCTGGAAAGCTGGCTGCTTAAATAGAGAGCATGGGTCCCGTCCCCCCCACACACACACACACCAAAGCAGAGTTGAGAGCTGCAGATGTAAGAGCAAATCAGCAACTATTTTTGCCTGGTTGTCAGTTTGACAAAGTGGGGAGAAGTAGGTTGACAGCCAGAATGAGACCAGCACCTGCTACTCTTCCATGGCCCTTGTTTGTTTCTGCATTTTTCAACGAAGTGCAGTGACGACCTGGTTGCACCAAATAAGAGCTGAACTTAGCCTGAGATTTCTGGTTGCCGACTCCTGATCTACAATGACAACATGAGTTAAGATTTTCCTTTAGGTCACACGTCCCAAGCCTTGTGCCTGTGCACCAGTAGTGTGTTAATGTCCATTGGCATGCTAAGTCTTGGGGCAACCTGATAAGCAAGTGACACATCCGAACTGGGCCTGCAGATTGTCGTTCGTGACTACTCAGGTTTTGCTGCTATGCACTTTTGCGATATGGTCATGGAAAAGCAGGAATTGGAGTTTCATACAGCCCAGTCCAGGTGTCTCCAGATGTTGCTGGACTACAGCTCGCATCATCCTAGAGTATTGAGCATACTGGCTGACAATGTTGGGAGTTGGAGTCCAACAGCATCAGAAGGACGGCATGTTGGCCACTCCTGCCTCTAGTCCCTGTGAGGCAGAGTTGGCCTCATCAAGAACAGATTAACTCACACTGTTCAGAGGAAAAGCACAGCAAAGGCTGAGTGAAACATGCCAGAAATATCTACAAGTGAGAAAAACAAGGGCCTAACCTGTCTTCCATCATATTTGTGTCCTTTCAACATTTTTAGCCTCCTAATAACCCTGTGGAGGGACGCAGGTGGCGCTGTGGGTTAAACCATAGAGCCTAGAATTTGCCGATCAGAAGGTTGGCAGTTCGAATCCCACGACAGGGTGAGCTCCTGTTGCTCAGTCCCTGCTCCTGCCAACCTAGCAGTTCGAAAGCATGTCAGAGTGCAAGTAGATAAATAGGTACCACTCTGGCGGGAAGGTAAAGGGCGTTGTGTGTGCTGCTCTGGTTCGTCAGAAGCGGCTTAGTTAATGCTGGCCACATGACCTCAGCCAATAAAGCGAGATGAGCACCGCAACCCCAGAGTCGGTCACGACTGGACCTAATGGTCAGGGGTCCCTTTACCTTACTAATAACCCTGTGAGGTAGGCTGAGTTGAAAGGGAGTGGCTGGGTCAACATCAGCCACAACAGCTGGTCAGAAATTTAAATCCTGGGTTGGTATTCAACTGAGTTTTTCTTTAATTAGACCTGTTGAAATTAATGGACCTAACATACCTATGTCATTTAATTTCAGTGGTTTTATTCTGTGTAACGCTTAGCTGAATCTAGTCTCAGTCAGACACACTAATCTTTTATGTCAAGCTGAGACTCAGTGGGTTTTCTGTGATGAACATGCACTGATGGCCATGTTCAGTGTCTAAATGTTTCAAAATATGAAAGGTAAGTAGCTGTAATAAGTGTAACCCTTTTGTTTATAGAGTGTTGATTTTCCTTATTTTTCAGTCCCTTTTTGATATCCAAGTCTGTCCTGAGTATATATATCCATCCAAGGCGTTGCTTTAATGCCGATGGTTTCCCTTTTTCTTTTCTCCCAGTGGCTTGTGAAACGTGCAATAGAAACCCGTGAAGAAATGGGAGATTACATCCGCTCATATTCTATATCTCAGTTTCAGAAGACACACAGTCTGCCAGAGGTAAATGTTTGGCTGCATCTTTTGTAATTCAGAACTAGAAGTGATTCTTTTAACCATCTCTAAAACGGATAGGATTGATGCAAACCTTCCCCAGCTGATTTGGCTCATAGGTTTTAGGACATAAGCGGATAGATCACACGTTATGAGCTGGCATTGGAGCAGAAAATATGAGTAGAGTAATTCAGTCCAACTCCTTAAGTATTAAATGCCCAGTTGCGCATCAAAAAGGTAGATGAATTTGCAGTGCATCCAAGTGCATTCATCGGATGCTCTGGGAAGCTGTGCTTGACACAAGTCACTTTTTTCTTGTAAGATCTTTTTCACAAAATTGTATTTGAATATGTTTGTGCAGTGGCAACACAGACCTACACTATGCAAGCACCAAAATGTTTTCCATTCTTAAAAATACATTACCCACCTATTCTTAGTGCAGAATGAGCCATTCCTTGAAAAGGAAAGTCCAGGTGTATTGTTTCTCTGTGATTAAAAGGTGACTGGCAGTTGATAATGCTATACCTTAACATGACAGCTGCCCACTGGAATAAAATAGTTCAATTATTTTTTTTAAGGCTGTGTTTTGGGGGTTTTCACTCACGTTGTCAAAAGTTCAACTTATGATTCTTGCATCTCCCTGTGTCTGTTGGTGCCTTTCATTATTTGTGCAGCTGCCTCATTTGTCAATAAATGGAAAGTGATGTTAAAGGTGTCAGTGCAGGAAGATACTCTGAATTTTTCTATCTGATGGGCCAAGTTCCTGCTAATGTTTTACTATTAACACCATATGTCTAAGATGTAAATTGCATTGTGGAGCTTAGTCCTAGGCAAAGTAGGTAGGATCGCAGCTTCATTGTGGTTTATGTAGCCTGAGGCTATTCCTGGTTCCCACCTTTAAAAGTTGCTGCGGAGGCGCAGAGTACCTATTTCCAGCTTTGGTTGGTTCTTCAGCCACAGCCATTCCTGGATTGAAGTAATCTGACCACAGTAATCCATGCTTTAATAATTTCCCAATTAGACTTTTGTAATATGGTCTACAGTTCAGAGATTATAGTGGGTGCAAAATGTGGGTTGCCACAGAAAGATCTGCACTATTTGCTACCGTGTCCAATTCAAAGTGCTGTCCATGGAGGCGCAGGTCAGTTCTGTGTCCAGGGCAGCTGTCTACCAGATCCACCTGGTATACAGGCTGAGACCCTACCTGCCCATGGACTGTCTCACCAGAGTGGTGCATGCCCTGGTTATCTCCTGCTTGGACTACTGCAATGTGCTCTAGGTTGGTCTGCCTTTGAAGGTGACTCAGAAACTACAATTAATCCAGAATGCGTCCGCTAGACTGGTGACTGGGAGAGGCCGCCGGGAGCATATAACACCATTCCTAAAGGATCTTCACTGGTTCCCAGTACGTTTCCGAACACAGTTCAAAGAGTTGGTGCTGACCTTTAAATCCCTAAACAGCCTTGGCCCAGTATACCTGAAGGAGCATCTCCACCCCCAAGGTCCTCCTCAAAGGGTCTTCTGCTGGTTCCCTCACTGCGAGAAGCGAAGTTACAGGGAACCAGGCAGAGGGCCTTCACAGTAGTGGCACCCTTCCTGTGGAACATCCTCCCTTCAGTTGTCAAGGAGATAAAGAATTGCACAACTTTTAGAAGACATCTGCCCTGTATCGGGAGGTTTTTAATGCATGATGTTTTTGTTGTGTGTTTAGGGATGCTGTAAGCCACCCAGAGTGGCTGGGGAAACCCAGCCAGATGGATAGGGTATAAATAAAATAATAATGATGATGATAATGTAAATATGTAAACAAATTAATACCCAGCTACCTGAAGGTGTGTGCCTCCTGATATATTCCTCCCTGTTATCTGAAGTCTGCCAGGTAAGCTCTGTATGGTCATCAAACAAAGCCTTGAGTTCCCAAACTTGGAATAGGACTTTGTCAGTGGTAGTTTCCTAGCTGTGTAACATGAGATTAGGCTGGAACCTACATTAGTCAGTTTTCTTCACCAGCTTAAAACATATTTTTAAAAATCTGCCGGGCCTTCTGAAGTGTGTACATGGCCCTTGATTACTTGTATTCTGCTGAAGGATTGGCTGTATTTTTTGGTACATTTTAACATCACAGCTTTGGACAAGTTGACACAACAACTGGCCAATCTTTGTTGACACTGTTGAGGTTAAATCTGTTTGTGTGTTGGTATTTAAAGCTATCTAAATTGCTTTGCAGGATGATGACTTCATGCAAAGAAAAGAAAAGTCTGTCAAAGCAGTTAGTGAAATCTCTGTAAGTGTGGCATTCAGCAGTGTGGGTTTTCAGAAAATTTACAAATAAAAAATAATTCGATTTAGCATTGTTTTGATTATGTATATATTTTGGCTTTAATTTACTCCCCCTTCCCTTTTAAAGATGCATAGACCATGTTTGTATGATATATCTGCATACCTGCTTCCTGGGGATAGTAACTTTTCTTCAAATGAATTGCAACTTCAAAGGTGCTCAGTTTTATCCATTGTGGTATCCATTCACTACATTCCTAGTTAGTTTTTATAAAAGAATGCATTTTTAGAAATTGATCTCCCCTGGGGTTCATGGCAGTGGGGAGGGGGCTAGAAAATGTTTCATCCCACATCATTGGTAGCACACTAAATCAGAATTTTCTGGTCAAGTTGTGGAATGCCAACAACAATCTCAGCACTTTGGCATATACAGCCCTCAAACGACTCTCTCTGCTAGGTTAGTACAAGTGGCAGCCCTAGTTAGAGTCTGTATTTGAGTCGGGTGCAAGTTGAGTCAGACACACAAGATTTTAAAGCTGCATTCCTGGACATATTAACTAGAGGATAAGCCCCATTGAATATATGTATAAATACGTGTGTTTATTTATGTAAAAAAAAACCCTGCCGAAATAATCATTGCAGCTCTACCGCATAAGAAAATGTGTACAGTGTTGTGCAATAAATCAGCTCCTTTCCAACCTGCAGAGGGTTTACTGTGACAGGATTTTATTTCTCTGTTCCTTTAGATTGCATTGCTCCATTATAATACCATATTAATTTTAGTTAGAGTTGACATGTGGCTCTTGGAGGCTTGATAGATTGATATCCCATTGTGCTCATCTTTTGAATACCAGCTCTGTGTATTCCTTCCCTTGTCTCTCTTTGTCCGGTGCAATGTCACTTTTAAAACGCCACACAAAACAGAACGTTGCGCTGCTGTGAATTCGGAAACGCGGGAGTTTGAATGGATTCCGTTGCATCTCAACTGATGTGCTATAGTTGAAAAAGATTTCCCACTTGCAAAACTGCCAACATTGATCAAAACATTTTTAAAAGAAAAAAGGAAGGAGGGTAAAAAGCTCTTGACATATCTTCCTCTGGCAGAGTCAACAGAGTAGAGAAGCCAAGTCGTGGAAACAATGATCTCGTTTGTCATTGTATCTCAGGGAGAGTAAACTGCCTTTGTCATTGTGTCTGGAAGAAAGTGTGGAATGTCATCTGAAGGCACTGCTTTTTCTGAGAGTTCTTCTTAACAAAGAGTGTCTGGCATTGATGCTTCTTTCTTTTTAACTGTAGCCGTGTACAAGAACAACTTGGCTGTATTGAAGCATTGCTTTTTAAAAAAGGGGGGGGAGAGATTTCCTTGAACTTAGTTCAGCAACTTTTTTTTCTTGCACATTCTTACCACCACCCCAATTATGTTAAATCGATTTTCTTTTCCTATGTGACTGGCTAAAGTAGCCATAATGAAGAGAGTAGTAATTAAGCATAATTATTCAATAAGAGGCTAGAAGTGGAATGCATGAACACTAACCGCAGTGACTCGGAATTAATCATCTCTTTAATTATGCATACTATTTTTTTTTCCCTTACTTTGTTTAAGATGTTTTGCAGATATGTCTGAGATCAGGTTGAATAGATTCATATGTTCTGGAGTAGCCATGTTCTTAATAATAGTAATAATAAGCTAGGAAAGTGCAAAAGGGAGGGGGAGGGGTGAGTCTAGGTCAATGAGTAGCCAGTGAAGGATATTGTGTTATGACAGACTGTGTTGTGTTGTATTATGGAACCACAAAAGCCCTGAGAAGGTCCAGGTAGGAGGTTTTTATGGAGAAAGAATGTTGACATTGGATTGCTTACTGACCATTTGTACTTCGACACATGTTCATGCTCATTTTGTTGGCTTTCAGGAAGTTTACAAGCCACAAAGGAAATACCAGCGACGAGCAGGAGCAGAAAAGTTAGTCGACGAGGAGTCTAAAGTTCATGCTACGCTTCTGGAATATGGCAGGTATATTCATTTTGTTAAAGTGTGTTCCAGGGAACCCATGATTTCTTGGGGGCATCTGAAGGATTCCAATAATGGCAGACAAAAGATCTGAAAGACAGCATGCTGTGGCTCTCTCTTCCCTGTAGGCAGATGCAGGAGAACCTTAAATGTCTTCTAGGGGCCAACTAATAAAGGATGTTAATAGTGTAGCTTTGCTATTCCTGTTGTTTCTTTCTTTTTTTACAAATTATCAGGCTAAGGAACCCATTCTGGAACTGTACAGTGAGGGGTAGGGGAGCTTTTAATCTTTTGCCACCCATTCTCACTAGCTGCAATTTGCACCACCAGCAAAGGCCCCATATGTTTAGATGGAGCCTTCGTTGGCTATGGAGTTGCAGGGGCCCTGATCCTGATTGGGAAGGAAAAGGCTAAAGCCCTCTATGCTCCATGCTAGGTTCATGATGGGGCTGGGGGGGTGCTAATCACGTATGCCATCTTGAGCTTGGAAGAAAGACAGGATGGTAATGTAATTAATAATGCTGTCTGCTCAAGTTCTTGGGGGGAAATGTTGCTCCACAACACATTTAAGTGTCAACAGACTCTGGGTTAGTGACAGCAGATTTCCATAGCTACTCTCCTGGAATAATCTAAGTGTGTACAGAGCACAAAAGCAATGTGTTGCTTGCCACAAATAACTGGTGAAATGGTTATAATATAAAATGTATTGACATTTTGATTCACTAGCTTTTCCACTGCAGTTCTTTAGTCATACAGGTGGTTTGCACACTTACAATAAGCCTAAGTGTGTTTGAAACTGTGGCCTAAGTGTGTCTTCTACTCCCTATGGAAAGCCAGATCACTTTTTCAAGTTCTTCATCTTTTTGTTTTCCTATTCCCCCCTCTTTAGTATCACTGGTTATTTCTTGTGAGTATTTTTCCTCCTGTGTACATGTGGTGTGGATCCCCCCCCCCTTCCAGTTGGCTCTTGGCACTTGAATTTGCATCTTTCACGTTAACATGTCTTCCACATTTGGTATTTAACAGCATTGTTAAATTAATGTTCACGGAGACTGTCTTTTTTTCTCAGCGCAAAAGTCACAGTTTTCTCTAGGGGCTAAGGGGTGAGAGAGAAGAGTGCATAGGAAAAAAATCCCAACTTCCACTCTTTTCGCATACTCCCCAGGAAAATAAGTTCCTAGCTGTTACCTCCCTGATCTGCTCCTTTATATGTAAATATTTTAAAGGACTCCTTTATCACGTGAACCCAGCTGATCTCAGACGGCAGTGATTAAACACAGCAGTATCATGGAGCCTAGAGTGATTTTACGTGGGCTTCGTTAGTTACAACAAGTATAGGCAGCCATTGGTATATAGCAGTCTACAGAACATAAGGCTAATTTCCTTTCAAAGGCCATCAAAGTTGGCTAGCCACAAGTTTATAACTGTTCACTGCTGAAGGGACTTTCTGTAGACCATCCATCAGTTTAGCTTCAATGGACAACCTTGGGGTCTAGTGTTAATATAGAGCAGTGTTTCCGCAACCTTGGGCCTCCAGCTGTTGTTTGACTACAACTCCCCATCTCCCTAGCTAGCAAGACCAGTGGTCCAGGGATGATGGGAATTGTAGTCTCAAAAACAGCTGGAGGCCCAAGGTTGGGAAACACTGATATAGAGAGAGGGGAACACTCACTCTATCACCATGCCCACTTTTGCCACATTGTGCATGGTGTTCGAACCCTCATCAGTTCCTGCCCTGCCCTGCCCTTACTTAGCTTTTTCCCTGATCTAAAAAGCTCCAAATGTTGTGAACTTTTCTCATGGGAGAGAATATTGCTCCAGCCAGCCCCTTTTCCTGCAACTTTCCCTTTTGCTGGGAATGGCTGTTCAGGTTTTCAGACTGGGTCCCCTGCACCAGATCAACCTGGAGATGACCAGGACTGAACCTGGGACTTTGTGGCAAGCACAGCGTGCCTTCCTCAGTATCCTCTGCTTTATAGGTTGTGTAGCAGCATATTAAAACCTGGTTGCCTGAGTGCAGTGGAACTACTCCCTAGTGGGAGAGTGAAATACAGCTGCAGCAGAAGGAGATGTTTAAACTAGAACTTCAGTGGAAAGGGCATATACAGAGAAAGCAAATAAAGCTAGGGAGGGCTGGCAGATTAATGCCTTGGGGGGTAAAAGTGAAATGTTCTTGGAATTAAAACGGGCTTTCATTAGCAATTCAGCAACAAGCCTCGGAGCACCACTGTCATTAACGATAAGGCAACCCCCCTCCTCCCCCCCTTTCAGCCCCCCTGAAACCTGCTGTACTGCAGAGGTTTAGAATGCACTGGGAAGACTTTGATGATGAGTTGCAGTGTTGCAACAGGAAAAATGGTTTACTTGTTAATGGCATATAAATTACAAAATGTACACTCAGAATAAAATGGTGAATATAACTAACCCCAAACTGCTGCTGCGGCTGCTGCTGTTTTTCTAAAAAGCACTGAGAGCTGGTCTTGGCATGTTTGCAAAAGCACATCTTCTGCAATGAAAGTGAATCCAGCTGCATATTCTGATTTGTTTCCCCCTCCCTTTTTACTTTTTCTAGGAGGTATGGTTTCAGCAGACAAGGGAAAATTGAGAAGGTAAGCTTGTTTCTTCATCTGGAATCCAGCTGAAAAAATATGTGTGTTGGACAAAATACTAGACACCAAAGCAGGTGTGTGTGTGTGTATGTATATATATATATATATATGTGTGTGTGTGTGTGTGTGAGAGAGAGAGAGAGAGAGAGAGAGATGCAGCAATTGATTATTATTTTTCATAATATTGAAAACCACTTGTTTGCTTGTTCTTTCTAGGCCACTCAGTCTTACTGTGTTGTGGTCACCACCCTGATGCTGCTGTATTCAACACATTGCGGGGAAACATTGCTAGAATTGTTCATGATCCTTTTCACTGTGGGTTAAATTCAGAGCCAGTTTGACTTTAGTCACTGCCTGTTCCAGACAAAGGGGCTCGGCAGTCTTCATTTTTGTCTGTTTTTATTTTTCAGTGTTTGTAATTAGCCCTGCATGCAAGGACCCCAGGGTGGCACACTGTAAACATTAAAACCATTGCTAACAATAAAGCTAAAACAAAAGTAACTCAGCATAATGCACTTTAGCAATTCACAGGCAACAGAAAGCAAACAAAGAAAACCCCTCTGTTATTGTTATTTTCTTGGGAACTGCTAGCAAGCATGATGTAGCCCAGTGGCGCCCTGCAAAGCAGTTTCAGATTGGCAGACTTTCAGCACACACTGTTGGAAAGAAATGTTTCCTAACATTTCAAGCTACACTCTGGTTGGTGGGGGATGTGAGTTAAATTAGTATTAGAGAATGAAGAGCACTTCACCCAAGAAAGTTGCCAGTGAAGTTAATTAAGCCGATGGAGCTTATTTTCCACTTGCAGAAATGTACATGCATTGCAATGTTGTGGAAGGCCCCAAGGTTCCATGCAGCAAGAATACTATTCCTAAAACTGCATCTCACTCCCTTTGTTGACTTCTACAAAATATGGCTGCAATGCTTCATCATACTTTATTGACCTTGCATGCTTTTAGCCTAAGACTGTCAAATGCTTTCGTTAAAATTTAGCCACTGTGATGAAAAGGAAGTCCTGTTCAGGATACCATTTACACTGTGTGCTTCTTCTGGGCTTCATCCGATGCTATGAAAGAGGAGTTCTGCTCATGTGGCAATACTTCCTTCATCCTCTCAGCTCCTGCGCATGCCCAAAATCTGCTCTCAAAGTCCTCCAGTCCCCTGGAGCAGATTTTGGGGGTGCTGGAGGGGCTGCAGGGGAGAGGAGGTGGGAAGTTAAATTGTACAAGCAGAGGTCTGCTGCATGAACAGAGACCTGTGTGTGAATTATTACTGTAGTGTGGTTTTAATGTGTCCATGAAAGGCTCTCTGGAGCCTTACCTTAATATATTCTGAAAGCATACGTTGTTCATTTCCTTTTTTTTTTTTTTTTAATTCTCCCCACCCTCCCCGCCTTGTGAGTTTGTAGATGCACCTTTTCCTCTTAATGTAGACAACATCCTTTTCTTCAATAGGTTGAAGACAAGAAAATGGTGCTGCCTGCTGGGCTTCCATCATCTGGGAAGGCTGATGCCTACACTGAAGATGACCTCCAAGCTGCAGAAGAGGTGGAATTATCTGATAATTTGTGACAAGGCTCAGTTCAGGGTTACTACTTCCTAATACATGAAATGAAACGAAGCTGCTGGTACAGAGGTTTCCCCCACTTTCCTTTTTGTATCTGTAGATTTTGCATTCTCAGAACCAACATGCACTCTTACTTGAAATTGAGTTTGGTGCTACAAAATGCATGTGGTAGGGCTTTAGTGGTGCACTTGCCTTTCAGTGGATAGCTTTATTTTATGTATTGCATTTGTGTCCTGCGGTCCTCTAAATGTCTTGTGGTGCCTTAAAATGGGATTAACCCTGTGTCAAATACGGAAACTCAGCCATTCAAATGTGTGAGTGCTATTGACAGCTGGTGCACCACATGTATATAAACTTGGGTATATGCACCTGTTTTCAAATACAGTAAAGTGTGACTGTTCCAAGAAGAATGATGCTGTGAGGACCTAAAGAAAATGATGTTTTCTTTTGCTTTGTGTTTGCCCAAAGTAGAGGAGCAGAGACTTCAGATTATTACACAGCATTTTGTGTTATGTTTGTTTGTGAATAAACAAGTGAGCAAAAGGGGGGGGGGTGTATATCCATTACTTTCTTACTAAGGAGCCATGTTTGCAGTAGCTCCCAGGCTGCCATCACAGTGTTGAGAAGGAATTTTGTATGAAAAGGGGAGGGAAAGTGTGTGTATTTGTTTTGTTTTGCTAACCTCCAAGCCTTGTCACATTTTTTCTATAAATGAAAATTAAAACGTGCTACATGTTTTGAAACAACTGTTCTGATCTCAGCACTTTTATTTTTTATCAGCTTCGTATTAAAACATTGATGACTGAGATGGCTGCAATGGGAACAGAAGAGGTAAGCAGTTCTGTTTGTAAGTCAAGGTTTTTTTGCGGAAAAAATATTATTTCAACCACTACTCTGGTATTATTAACAGGGTAGCACAGGCCAAAAAAAATTCTTTCCAGATATCACTCCAACTAGATTTCTTATATCTGAAAGTTCCGTTCTTCATGGGGCTATGAATTGAAACTGGAGCAAACTGCAATTCAGTAGAGAAAGAAAGGAAAGGATGCATATTTCTCATTGCCTAGCTGTACTCTGTACCTATCAAGCGAACTCTGCAGTATGTACAACTAAAGTTATTCACATCCCTGTTCTTTCCTCCTGCACCTGCAGATTGACTTGAAAGCTATCACAACCCGTGAAATAGGGTTAAATGGAGTCAGGCTGCCTGAGGCCTTACATTTTGCAGTGTAAATTGACACAAGGAAAAGACTACTAAGCTTGAAAAGTGGTCTTTTTCAAAAGGTGTTTAGCCTTTGTTGGTTGTGTCCTTGCCTACAAAAAGCATAAGGAGAGTTATCGCTGCTTAGTAATCAAAGATACAGACAAGGCCTTTGACAGCTCACAGCCTTTTCACTCCTTGCTTTGTGAAGAGAAGAAACAAATGAGGAAACTTCAAAACTCCCAGTTCCCTTTTTTGTCCAAACCACGAAACTATGGTTTAACGCAGGGGTCCCTAAACTAAGACCTGTGGGCCAGATAAGGCCTGAGGGACTCTTTTATCTGGCCCGTGGCGACACCCACCGCCACAGCTGCCCTGCAGCTGCCCACTTCCGGGTCGGAGGAGCACCGGAAATAGCTTGTGTGCATGTGCAAGCGTTGTGCGCATGCGCAAGTGTTATTTCCGGTGCACATCCGGGTTGGAGGAGGCCCGTGCACATGCCCACAAGCTATTTCCGGTGCTCCTCCAACCCGGAAGTGCGCCGGAAATAGCGTGTGCACACACGTATGGGCACGCGCTCCCCCACCCTCCGGCCCGCTGCGCGTTCGACGCTGGAGACACCTGCCCAAGGCGCAGTAAGTTTGCTGACCCCTGGTTTAACAGCTTCTGAACAAACCAGGCTGTTAACACTTAACTTAATATCTTTGCTGAAGACTTTCTGATTCGTTTGCTCACCAGCAGTAAGAGAAAAGTACTTCTTGCACATCTTTTCTGTCTCCCAAGACTGCGGAACCTTTGAAGAGCCTTCTCATTTGGCTAGGTTCTTATGGAGTCCACTATAATCCTGTACACAATTTGTTTCTGCTCCCCTACCCCACAGCACACATACCTCAGCAAAGCCAAGGTCTTCGTTCCCTCATAGTAATGCTTATCACTTCTATGCACACATGCAAACTTTCTGCTGCTGCTACCTACATTCAGTGACCAGCAGATGTCACCCAAATTCTCTTCCCACCTGGCTCATGTGCACAGTGCCTCATCTACATACACAGCCCTTTCTTCCATTCTTGGGATATGAGTCCAAAATGCTCCTTATCTCTCAAATATACTTTAAGCAAGGAACCTTCATAGCAAAGCAGCAGCAATTCCTGTGCTCTGACTTGATGTAACTGAACCATTGCCATGGAAGCCTTGCTAAGGTAGCAAATGTTGTCCTGTTCCCATTCCTGTAGATGGATTTTATGATGAGATAAAAAGACTTGCTAGCTGATGCCCACTCTTCCAAGTATCTCCCCACTGCCCCGGCCAGCTCTGCTTGCTTATTCTCCATCCAAGCCTTGCTGCTTTCATGGAGGACAGTGGTACTTCTTCATGGAAACAGACATTGCATTTACATCAATTCAAACTGCCCTGCTTTTTCAAAAAGCTGTCTCATGTGTGCCTTCATAAGACTTGTGTTCTACTTGCAGGGCAGACTGACCGCAAGCACTGTAGGGCAGATAGTTGGACTTCAGTCTGATGAGATCAAGCAGATAGTATCAGAATATGCTGAAAAGGTAGGTGATTTTTTTTAACTGTTTTAAGAAAACCATACCTGAGCAATTGTCTATTAAGTCTTCAAATTTCGAAGCTTCAGCTCCTGTTTTAAAAAATATATTCTTTAGAACATTATCTACAATAATGATGCTAGTTGGTGTGCCAATGCTTCTTTGTGAAGGCATACAAATCTGTGCTCTCGTCAATAAAAATCAGTTAGATTCCTGTGTCTCTGTGTCTTCTAAGCAAGTAGCTAAAAGTTGCATATGACTTTGTAGAGGAATAGTTTCTCCCACGTCCTTGTGCGCCATGAAACAGTTTGTGAAGTTTTACAGCTGTATTATATGGAGCTATTCGATGTTGTACTATGTTGATGATTCAGTCAGGCCAGATGGAGCAATTCTCCCTCTCCTTCCCCCTGCCAGGGAGCTGTTTTGGGGTTCCTCCTGACACACACACACACCTAGGCCAGTTGTGAGGGAGCAGAGGAGGATAAACCCCTTTGCTCAGGTGGGGGACCTTGCCTGTGCTTCCACTGATGGGGTGCCTTATTTGAATTTCACCCATAGTTGTTGGAGTCAAGCTGTGTTTTGTTTGCAAGAAGACAAACCCTCCCATCCTGATTTCTTCCTCTTTATCTATTTCCTCAGCCTATTCCTCTTACCATTCTGCTAGTTATAGTTTTCTTTGAAAATCTGGCTTGGCTATTTTGGGCTTCTATAATAGATTTCCTGTCAGTGCACAATGAAGATTGCTTAAAGCAATGGTGTGTGTTTGTGTGCCCTTGAGTTTAGTGGTTACTATAGAGCAGTCACTTAATTACATCTTAAATTCAGGAAGGTCAGTCTTTCCTGGTTGTACTTGGATCCAAAGATATGAGTGATGTGTTTGGGAGGAAAAGGAGAAAGATACACATAGTCTTGCATGAATTGAGAGGGAATTATGCAGTTGCAGTGTTTATGCTTAGAATCTGGAATCGGAGCCTGAGTCGAGAGGCTCATAAGGAAAAGCATATAGTTTTTAACTTTGGTAGCAGTTTTAAAATGTTCAAAGTGCTTTACCATTCTCATCTTGGCTATTTCCCACGATTTAAATATACTGTCTGCTCCTTATGGGACTCCTTATGGGATTCTTTTTGGCAGTATATAACTAATAAGTTGAGGGACGCGGGTGGCGCTGTGGATGAAACCTCAGCGCCTAGGACTTGCCGATCGCATGGTCGGCGGTTCGAATCCCCGCGGCAGGGTGCGCTCCCATCGTTCGGTCCCAGCGCCTGCCAACCTAGCAGTTCGAAAGCACCTCCGGGTGCAAGTAGATAAATAGGGACCGCTTACCAGCGGGAAGGTAAACAGTGTGCTGCGCTGGCTCGCCAGATGCAGCTTGTCACGCTGGCCACGTGACCCGGAAGTGTCTGCGGACAGCGCTGGCTCCCGGCCTATAGAGTGAGATGAGCGCACAACCCTAGAGTCTGGCAAGACTGGCCCGAACGGGCAGGGGTACCTTTACCTTTACCTTTACCTAACTAATAAGTTAACAGTGTTAACTTTAACAGTGTTATGGGAATGGAAAGAGTTTCATGCATGGGGATGTTGTTGAACAGTTGTGAGAGCAAATAAGGGCAGGGGGTCAAGTGCCTTGCACATAAAGTATCTTACAAATTGTAGAACTCCTGCTCCCGCAAAAATTAAATAGTCTTTTTTTCCATTTTGGAAATAAATGTCCACCCTGAGATCTTCAGATGAAGGGTGGTATATAAGTTTAAAAAATAAAATTAAAATGCTTATTTTTCTGAAATAGAGATAACTTCGTTTCTATTTTCTGGCACCTCATTGATCTGTTACTTTTTCTCTTCAGTTGACAAATGAATGGCAAGTTTAAAAGAACTTAGGTGGGTGTTTGTAGCAACTGCTGAATGTTTTAATTAACATATTTAAAAACAAAAGCTACAATTTTGCCAAGTGAATTCCTGGGTTTTGCCATCCATCTGTGAATGCAATTTTGTAGTATGCAAGAGAATTTTCAACTAAATGTTTATGATCTGAAGATAACAGAATGTGTCGGCTCTCACTTAAAACTGCTACACGTCTAGTGTGGTCTTGAAAATAAATTACTTTAGTAGAAACCTTTTGGACTTCAATTTCAAGCAAGAGCCAAGAAGCTTCAGTTGTGTTATAACATATGTCTTCCATAGCCCTACTTGCTATACCTCATGTTTCAGTTCGTAAATAGCACAAATAGATGATATTGTTCAAAACTTTGTTTTAACAGGTCAGATGTTATATCCTTCTTTCAACAGAATGTTTTTTATGAGTACAAAGGAAAAATAAATCACGGAGCAGTGGCTTGCAGCAAAAACTGCAAAAAAGTTGTTATTTTTAAATGGATAACTGTTGTATTTTACTGACTGGACTTAACCGTCCAGGGGTCCTTTACCTTTACCTTTACCTTTACCTTTTACCTTACCAGACTTCTCTGGACTCCTGCGGGTGAAGGAGCATTACAGAAACAATAATAATCATAATCAAAATAATCAAAATGATCTTGATTGCTGCCTTCCACATTTTTCCGTGAACATAGAACACAGAAGGAGGTAGCAGCTAAATACAGTAATTAAATTCTAGTCAATTTGTGTGTGCGGGGAGAATTAGACTTGCAGCATAGTCTATCTATGGTGGTGTAGTGGTTAAGAGCGGTAGTCACGTAATCTGGGTAACCGGGTTCGCGTCTCCGCTCCTCCACATGCAGCTGCTGGGTGACCTTGGGCCAGTCATACTTCTTTGAAGTCTCTCAGCCCCACTCACCTCACAGAGTGTTTGTTGTGGGGGAGGAAGGGAAAGGAGAATGTTAGCCGCTTTGAGACTCCTTAAAGGGAGTGAAAGGCGGGATATCAAATCCAAACTCTTCTTCTTCTTCTATCTGTGTTCACTTTGAAGTCAGTCTAGTGGCAATCAGTGGCAGGGGAGATTCCCAGTGCCGGGCAAACACTGCTCCCAGTTACGAAGAGGGTGAGAGACAAAGAGGTAGGAAACTTGGCATGGCGCTTGACGTCGGTAAGCACCCACTACAGAGTCAGCCCCATTGATTTCAATGGGATTAAGTACACTTAACATTGCAGTCCAGTCCTGGGAAGTTGGTGCTGAAATTCAAGTTAATGCTGTGAATTCTCACCCCATCCCCATATAACGATGTGCTGTTGAATTTTAACAGTATGATCCCCCTGCCCTTTGCTCCCAGCACCGTATCTCTTTCTAGGATGGAGGAAATGTGTTGAGTCAGCCTTGCGGGTCAAAGTGGAACATGCCCAGTTCCCCTCACATTTCTGCCTCCAGAAGAGCTCTGCCAACTTCCACACTTGCTTACTCCCTGTAATGCAGGACATGCAAGCATCCAGACCTCTGCATACCAATATGTGGCTGTCCAGTGGTTTATGGAGCAGTCTTAATGCACAGATTAGGCAAGTAATGATTCCTGTCTGACAAAGTGCTGAGGGGGTGTTCCATTCATTGTGTCCTCTCCCCACTCCATCTTTTTCTAGCAATCAGGACTTTCTGCAGAGGAGCGTCCAGAGAGACTTGGAGCTGCCCAGCAGCACAGAAGGAAGGTGGCATCTTTAAACAAACAGATCTTACAGAAAACCAAGCAGCTGGATGAAGTATGTGGGGTTTTGTTGTTGTTGTTCCATTATTTTGAGGGTTTGTAAACCACTTTGCCACTCTGCACTTATGGAGAAGATTATAACTTCAACATCCATTTAGGAGAATTATAATATGAGTAACCTGGGTCTTAATAAGCATTGGTTAAGTGAATTTATGCACCCTTTTTTTGCACATAAGTTGTACATAAGTTTGCACACTTTCCTTGATTGCCTCTATGGAAGCAACAGGTGCTTACTGACTGCCCGCAATTCCGAATTAAAGCTGTGAGCTGTGTTTATGTACAGGCAAAGGCAGCATTTAAATTCTCCTCTGTCAGAATATCAAATGTTGAGGTCATACAGGTGCCCTCCCTGTTCAACTCCCAGTGCTTACTAGGGATTCTTAATTCCAGCAGGTTTTTTAAATTAAATTCTGATATTATAGTTTTAACTCATTTTAGACTTACTGTATTGTACTGGATCTCCTGCACACTGCTCAGAGACAACTGTGAATAAGAGTGCTATAAATTGCTGAAATAAATAAATAAAAATAGTTGGCATTTAAAGCTGCACAGAATTTCATAGTTAACAGAATTTTTCCAAAGAGTTGTGATTCTTTTTCTTTTTCAAATGCTGGAAGATCCACAAATCATAGAATCAAAAGAATTGGAAGGGAGACCATCAGGATCCTCTAGTCCAGCGGTTCTCAACCCATGGGTCTCCAGATGTTGTTGGACTACAATTCCCATCATCCCTGAGCTCTGGCCTTGCTAGCTAGGGGTGATGGGAGTTGTAGTTCAACAACATCTGGGGACCCACAGGTTGAGAAAGGCTGCTCTAGTCCAACCCCCTGCAGTGCAGGAATATGCAGCTGTCCCATGCAGGGATTGAACCTGAGACTTTGGTGGCACCATGCTCTTACCAACTGAGCTATCCAGTCCTTAGCTCCTGTAAACATTACATTGGTGCTCACTTGGCTGCTGCTAACATTATTCTTTTGCCTGTCAAAATCTTTACGGATTCACTGATTTAATTGCCTTCTGTTCCGTTCTATCTGCCATTCCTCCCCACCCGTTTGTACTTTAAGGAAGCCAAATGGAATACAATTTCCTAGAATCAACCTGGTTTTTTCTAATATACGTGTTCTCCTAAGTTATATTTCCTGATTCTTTTCCAATATTTGTGCATCATGTCAGTGAATTTTATTTAAAGATGAACTGCGGTGTCAGCTACGATCCAGTAAAGGCTCCCACCAAAGGGGGGGGGGATGATTTTCACTTGATTTCCACCAACTGTCCCAAGTGCCACCTTCCATATGTTTAGCGAGAGTCCCCTGAAGCCCAGAACAGTTTTTGGAGGGCACAGGCCTGTTGCAGGAAATGAAAGCTAGCAAAAAAGTCCTCTTTCATTCACAAATTTCCTCCAGTGGAGGATTCTGTAAATAGAGTTCCTCCCACAGTATAATTCATCTGTTGTTGTTGTTCCAAATCCAGAGGGTTTGATTCAAAGAATAGGGTATCCTGGAACTGCTACATTCCATTCTTGTTCAGCTCATAGCTGTCCAGAGAACTTTGTTGATATATACATAAATACATGGGTGTAAACTTTATCTCTCACACATTACTTGCTTCTAAAACCTTCCAGACTCTCAAAGTGAAAATTTACTTTAAGTTTAGACCTCAGGAGAATCAGTGCCTTTGTTGTTGTTTTTACTGTCCTTGGATAAGCAACCGAAGGAAGCTATAGGAGACACTTTGCAATAATATACTGCAAGAGAAAATAGTTAAAATTATGGCCCTGTTCACGCTTAATGCTGAAACAGGAAACATTTCATCCATCTTGGAAGCACTGACCCCTGACACCTTGTGGACACCAGCCCTGCCTTATTTCTTCCAAATTTTCCTGTGTTGAGTGGGGGAAGTCTGAAGGGAGCTTCTACCCATGTTTGCTTGAAACCTCCATGTGATCAGAAACTCTTACAAAGCACCGCACTGTAGAGAAGAAAGAAGGACAGGAATAAATTTGCCAGTGCAGGGACAAGCAAAGAACCTCAAAGGTGCACAAAATTAAGATTGATTCAGCCCAACATGTTTAGGTTTAAAGAATTTGCCTGGGGCATTGTAAAACAAATGTTATCCACCTGCTGCATTGCTAATTGATTCCTCGGGACATAAAACATGAATCTGGGAAGTGGGCATGAAATGTTTTTGGTAAAGAGGTTGTAAAATATTGTCCTTTTTATTATGAATAGCTACAGTTCACCATGCAGTGTATATGGTTTGCATAGACCTATTTCTCAGATGGGGTGTTTCATAAGCAAAAGCCTCGTTTCTGAGGTTTCTGACTGCTACTTTTATAAATTTTCTTTACAATCCAGCGTGAGCAATGCTTCTGTAGATATTAGAGGAACCATTAAGTATAGTTCCAGCATGTTTCTTGATGTGTATGTGTGTATACGCATGCCATTGTTAGGAAATGTTGCTGCCTTTGATTAAAATACCAGATTGGTGATCACTTAACTTGACTTTCCCCCTGTGTTCTTCTTTTGAAAACAGTTGCAGGCAAAATGTGCTGACCTGCAAGCAGGATGTAGTGAGGCTAAGAAGAAATTAAATGAGGTAAGCTCGTTCTTCCCTTTGTCCTCCCCTCTTCTACTTAGACTAGTCTCTGTCAACTCCGTGTTGGACAAAAGAGGACAAGGCCTCTACATCTTTAATTGTTGCGTAGAAGAGAATTTCGGGATGTAATGCAAGCTACACCTGCTGAAATTCATTCTTCTGCTCAGTTGCATAGGAGCCCTGTCACCTTCTTCATCTGACCACCTGGACCGAAATGAACTGGAATAATTGTAACAATGTGCACTCGCACCTATGCAAATAAGAGTAAGAGGCAGCCCGGAACACCACAGTTTCCATTGCTGCTTGTTAGGGAAGGTTCTGCTACGTTCGTAAAAGCTACCTTCTGCCGGTTATCCAAAGCTGTCCCAGACAAGCATAATGCCATATTGACTTTTGTCTTGTAATGATACTGCAGCAAGAAATAGGAAAGACGAAAGAAACTTGTGCACAAGTTGTACCAGTGTTTTATCCCTTGCAAAAAAAAGGGGGGGGAGAACTTAACAAATCTTGTACAAGTTGGTATGAGAGAGGACCATGCACTATCCTGGTAGGCAGCTGTGCAATCCAGTACTCACCTCTGTAGGCAGCTGGAGGAGACAGCACTGGTACAGCAGAACTTTACCGAATCTAGGTTCACATCTCAGCACTAATGCCAAGGGTTACATCCAATTGTGACGGTCAAGGCCCCTGTGAGCTACTCCTGGTGCCTTTTTGAGAACAACTGGTCATGCTATTTGAGAAAAAACAGGTAGAGCTTGCCAGAGTTTTAAATCGATCCCTATCAACCTTAGAGGGCTTTGCTTAAAGCTTTGTTTTTGGGTTAAATTGGTTTTTATTACATTTTCACACCATGTGTTATTAATTCCAATCCTTTAGGTTAAGAATCACAGCGAAAAATTAGACAAGGAGCTGGCAGCCTTAGAAACAGTGGAATCCCAAGCAGATTCAAAGTATGTGTCCAGTTCCTCTCCATCCTTCCCTGTCCCCTTTGCAATGAATTGTGTTAATTCAGCAGTAGTCTCCATTGGTGATGGTTGGGTTTTTGTATCTACTCCAGCCTGTAGTTTATATTATGTGTGTGTGTGTGTGTGTGTGTGTGTGTGTGTGTGCACGCGCGCGCGCATGCACACACATTCTAGTCCAAATGTTTCCTTTCATGGCAGAATGTTATTTATGCTGGAATCTCTGTTAGCCTTCCTCAGCTTGGTGACCCTGTATGGTTTTGGTTACAACTCTTAATCAGCCCAACCAACAGTCCGGGCTGGTTGAAGTCTCACGTTAATTCTTGACATGGTGCAGTCACTGCAAAGTGATTGTTAAACATCATTTTCAAATATAGACTTGCATTGATTTTCAAGGATTAGGGGCTGGGAAAAACATCTGGCTGGCACTTCTTGAATGTTCAAAAACACCCAGCATCAAAAAAGGTTATTTTAAGGATTACTGTTTGCTCACTGAGCCTTAAAATAACCCTATTAAGGAAAGTCAGTGTATTTTCTTCATATTTTCTTACAGATGGGAGACTTAGCAGCACAGTCCTGTGCATGTCTACTTGGAAGTAAGCCTCATTAGGTTCAATAGGCCTTACTCCCAGCAATGTACTGGAAGGGAGAGCAAGTAGCAATGCTTGCACCGACAGAACGATCTCCTTAGTTGCAACACTGAAATCCACCTGTGTGTTTTATGGTTTTAATGTACTGGCTTTTATGTAGATTCTGTAATGAGCTGGAATTTTTCATTATTTTCATTATGATGAGCAGTATAAAAATGTTTCTGCCTTTTAAATCAGTGGGTATTATCTATTGGATAATGGAGGCATCCAAACTTTGAGCAGCAATACAGGAGAACGTTTCTTCTGTGAGATCCTACCTTTCTGTTTTATTCAGCTCTGTTGCTGCCCTAAATTGCTTCTTTAAGATATTTTGTTTTCCCCTCTCTCCATTTTGTTTTCCCCTCTCTTCATTTTTCTTAGAATAAATGTCTCTAAATGCTCAAGAACAAACAATGTGTTGTTGTTGTTTTAATTTAGTGTATTGCAGAAGCTTCGGGCACTGGTGGCAATGAATGAGAACCTCAAAAGCCAAGAGCAAGAATTTAGAGCACATTGCAGAGTAAGTTTTTTAGATGCTTCATTCCAAGTCAGTGCCTGCACGCAATTCTTTTTAAGGATCCAGATTGAGGATCCATAATCCAGATGTACTCCTGAGCTTCTTTGTATATGCAGCAGAATACAACTAATTCCTGTTGTTTAGGAATGCTTTTGCAGCGCAGTAACTGGAAAAACTACTTCCATGTGGTTAGGGGATCCATGTCAACATGCGGACCAGAGGTGTAGCTGGAGGGGGAGGGACGCACTAAACACCACATCACGGGAGGGGGGGCCCGCACTTACCACGGGGCCTGGCCTACAGTGCACCTGAGCCACATGTCTCTCCTGGGAGTGACGCAGTGGCTCTGGGTGCCTGCAGGCTCCCTGCTGCCCGAAACGGCAGCGTGGGCCTGGCATCTGCCCACCGCCGCCTCCTCAGGCTCAGCTGCCCTACAGCTGAGGCCCCAGCTCGCCCCACTCCCAGGTGCAGGGCGCATGTGATGCCCCAGACGTCTAGCTAAGCCGCTGTTGGGTACCTTGTAGTAAAGCAGAATATATATATATATATATATATATATATATATGCAGGTTTTGGTGTCCTCGGGTGTCTTCCCGTGTAAAAGTTGGGGTGTCTAGGCGACGTTTCGACGAGGTCTCACTCGTCATCTTCAGGCTGGTGCTTTCGGCTTCTTGTTACTGGAACAGAGCTCTGTTCCAGTAACAAGAAGCCGAAAGCACCAGCCTGAAGATGACGAGTGAGACCTCGTCGAAACGTCGCCTAGACACCCCAACTTTTACACGGGAAGACACCCGAGGACACCAAAACCTGCATTCCTGTACCCGTGAAAATCTACGAAAGCAAATATATATATATATATATATATATATATATATATATATATATATATATTTAAAAAGCCATTTGCCTTGGTCACATGGCTGGTCCCCATTCCACAGTTCCCAGGTGGACGTGCGCAGTGGGAACCTATGAACAGTGCAGTGTCTTAACACTGGCATCTGTTAAGATTGCCATGTGGAGTCCCCACCACCTAGGTGCCAAGGTAATGTATGAATTGGTCTGAAACCATAATCAGTGGTTGTTGCGAGGTACCTTGAAAAAGTGATCAATATCGGAAGTTTTAAAATGTGTAAATTGTATGAGAAAGGAGGAAAGAAATGGAACGGGGCAAGAATACAAATTGAATTTTAAACCCCTGTAACTTAATATTTTGGGGTGGCTATTTTCATTATGGGATGCAATATGCTCAGTGTCACTTCTGCAAAAGCCCTTTCAAAATGGTTAGGGACAGTTGGGCTTGTACAAGATGCTGTAGTCATGGTGGTGCTTGTATTTTGATTTTTTTTAAAAACTCGAACTTATTCTCTTGCCCTTCTGACTTGGGTTCATTTGCATAAGAGTCAGACTGTGTGTTTTCCCCTCTCCCCCCCCCTCTTGACATAATGAAGAACATTCACCTCCTCTGGAGCCCTAAGCACAGAATGTCTATATGTTTTTGGGCTCTTTCTGATGCATATTTTACGAAAAGAAAACAGTCTCTGGCTATTGTTTCCATAAAGAGCACACGTTGATTGCTAATGAAAAGAAACAATTATTATTTTATTGCTGTTCTAGGAAGAGATGGCACGCCTCCAGCAAAACATTGAAAGTTTGAAAACAGAAGCAGCTGAAAATGGAGAAGAGAAGGTAAACAGAAAATATTTAAGCATTCTTACTGAGCTTTGGAATCTTCTTCCCATATATTTTTTTAAAAGAATTTTAAAATGCTTGCGGTCCCTTTGCTCCATTTAGAAGTGTTTGCCCTCATTTGGAATGCTGCCTGAATTTTTTGTTTTGCCAGTCTGCTACTTAAAGGTGCTAACGTGTGTGTGTGTGTGTGTGTGTGTGTGTGTTTGTGTGTGTCTTTTGTTGTGATTCACTTTCTCTGGTTACTTAAAATGAACACTTCATTTCACTTTAACAAAACTTTATATATTTGAACTCATGTCTTTCTTATTGAAGGCAATTTCTTATACACAAGAATTGGGACTTGGAACACTGGAACACAGTCAGTTCCCAAAAGTGTGTGTATTTTTTTGAGCAGGGTAGCTTGTTCCTTTAATAGCAAACTTGATTGTTTGCCTGTGTATTTTAATAAAAGAAACATCAGGATACATGGTGGACATTTAACAATGGATGTGGCATGCAGGTGTTTTCCATTAGAGGACCTCTAAATTGTTGCCCAATTTAAAAGTCCATGAGGCTTGAGTTTGGACTCCACTTTCAAGAAGATTGCTCAGTTCAGATGATTCTTGAAACCTTGCAGTCCATCCTCTCTTCCAGAAAACTTCTCTTTTGTTTTGCACTAATCATAGCTGGTTGTAATGTCCAAATCAAACTACAGAGTGCTTGCACTCCAAGAAAAACCCACTTCAGACCTTGGCTTCTAATTTCCGGCTTGGAGGACAAGCCTTAACCATAGTCTGCCGATTCGGATGCCATGGCAAACCGGGGTTAGTGTTAAACAGGAAAAAGCAAGCCTTCTGTAAACCTGCAGCTCATTACTGAATGTCCAAATAATGAACAAAAAGATACCGTATTTTTCGCTCTATAAGACGCACCAGACCACAAGATGCACCTAGTTTTTGGAGGAGGAAAACAAGAAAAAAAATATTCTGAATCTCAGAAGCCAGAACAGCAAGAGGGATCGCTGAGCAGTGAAAGCAGCAATCTCTCTTGCTGTTCTGGCTTCTGGGATAGCTGCGCAGCCTGCATTCGCTCCATAAGACGCACACACATTTCCCCTTACTTTTTAGGAGAGGAAAAGTGAGTCTTATAGAGCAAAAAATACGGTACTTTGAGCTTTCCTGGAGCAAATCAGAACTCCAGGATAGCTTACCCATGATAAAAGGAGAGGACTATGTTGAATAGTCTTCTGATACTCTGGTGTGCTTCTCCAAACCCCACTGTCCTTCCACCTGCTAGTGTGTGTTTTTAACCGCTGTACAACAAACAGACCCTAAACAGATTCAACTTTACCCAGGATGGACTCGTGGTGAGGAATGTTCTTCTGCTTCTCTGGGCAGCTTGTTTTTAGGTGAATACGCTACATATGTAGTTGCACAAGTTAACATGTTTGGTTGGAGCCAGTAAAATGTGGCAGAACATAGCTTTCTTGAACCCCTTCCCCTCGGCATGTTTTTAACTTTGATGCGGAACCAGTATAAACCCTGGGCCCAGTATGAATAAGTGACCCTTGGTCATCATAGTCTCGACTGAATTTGGTCAGCTGGAAATCAGTTTTGTTTTATGTCTCCAATGTTAGGAACCCGCTAAAATTATAGACCAGCAGTACAAAACCGAGAGAGAGAAGCTGCAGAAGATCAGACTGCTTCTGGTGAGTTTTCCAAACCGTAAGTCTCGCTGGGTTGGCAGATGTATTTGCTAAATGTCTTCCTGTCCTGTGCAATGTAAATTTCTGGTTCACGCGAGACTCCCGGATTCTTCTGTAATGGATGTTTTAAAAGTTGGAAATACCAGTTGGGGGGTAATTATTTGGAAAACGTCACCTTTTGCAGTGGAGCCAAGAGGGCAGGGGGTCCGCATGGCAGCAGTTGATTCCGTTATCAGGTTGTTTCTAAATCTCAGTTTGTTTTTTAGAAACCCAGTCACAGGGTTTTTTTTCTGTTTTTGTTTTGTATATTGTTTTCAACTCCCCTCAGGCCCGACGAAACAGAGAAATAGCCATTTTACAACGCAAGATTGATGAGGTTCCCAGCAGAGCTGAGTTAACACAGTACCAGAAAAGATTTATTGAACTTTACGGGCAGGGTACGTATATCAGGCAGAAATGGATTCCTCACAGCTAAGCACTATAAACCTATGGAGCATGGCAACCACTTCTTGTTTAATGTTGTTGTATCACTGTCTGTTTGACATTCACATCGTACGCCTTCGCAGACAAGCAGGGCTTTTCCAAAACATGGATTTTAAAATGCCCTCAGGGCCAAAGGTTTGGCGCTTTGGGGGTAGGTTCTTGAATGTTTGTAGCTGGTTCTGCCACTTAGTTCCACAGTCTATATGTTAAGACACTGTTCCTTATGACACTAGGCAGGGGGGGAAACAATAGGAACAACCAACCCACTACATGCAATGGCTACGTCAGGGCTGCCCTCCCCACTAATACGCCAGTTAATATGTGTGATGTGCAGCATTCATATTTGTTTCCAATCCCTGCTGTTCTTCCACTTCAGAAACAATGTGGGGAGGGCCTGTGCACGCACACAAATAGGTGCGCACTCGTACATACACATGCTGTGCAAGGTGAGGAAGCCTTCTCCAGGCCCATGATCCCAGTGCACTTGTAACGCGGTTGCTGCAAACTAGTCTTCATCTGCTTGTTAGTGGCTGACTACTTCAGTGGAAACCCCTTCAGCAGCAACAGCTCTTCTGCTCATGGAGCACTGGCTAGGGGTTTAAGTAAGCCTAAGGAAGAAGAGGAGGAGGAGGAGGAGTTTGGATTTGATATCCCGCTTTATCACTACCCTAAGGAGTCTCAAAGCGGCTCACAATCTCCTTTCCCTTCCTCCCCCACAACTAACACTCTGTGAGGTGAGTGAGGCTGAGATACTTCAGAGAAGTGTGACTAGCCCAAGTTCACCCAGCAGATGCATGTGGAGGAGCGGGGAAGTGAACCTGGTTCACCAGATTACAAGTCCACCAATGAAAGACTGCTTGTTTCTCAAATGCTCATCCTCTGGTGAAATTCTTTGTTCTTGGAGAGATGGGGTGGGCTGTCCAAAAAAACGAGGGGGAAAGACAAAAGTGACAGAAGAAGAAAATCAGAGGTACTGCGTTCCATAGGAACCTGTCGTTTTCTGGTACCCAGAGGTAAACTCCTCCTATTGTCCTTGGCCCTCATTTTCTGTCTGCCCCAGTTGTTCAGTTAGTTTTTCCACATACCTCCCTTCCACATACCTCCCTCTGCTCTGGATCCTCTATGCCTGGCTGTCTGCCATTTCCAGAGATCGTGGGGAAACTGTTCCTTTACACTAGGTGAAATCTGCAGGAAATGTCTACCTGCTGCACCCTCTTTGGGGAGATAGGTTAAGGTTAGGGGGATGCACTGGTAAGCAAGCCCACATGGGCATTTGACACTTTGACGCAGACTGTAGATAATTCAAGGACTTGAATTTCTTAACTCCCAGAGGTAGGCAACTTCTCGCCACATAGAACATGTTGTAATTGTTGTATCCCACCCACCTCCCCCCAAAATTGCTCAAACCATGGTGAGGAGGGGTTTTTAATTGTCTCTGTAAAAACAAATGTCTAGTTCTTATAGTTACAGGGATGTCAAATTTGTGCTCATCAAAATTAGCAATGTGATCTTTTATATTGAACAAGTGGTTTCCATGGCTGCTTATTATACTTCTGAATTTTTCCCGGAATAGGGTACTCATCTGCAATGCCATTTCTCATTGGCTTTTCTCCAAAACATCTGTTGTGGGGGGTGCACATACATGCACGCGCACCGAAGCTTTATCAGCAGCCAAAGCAAAATAATATATGGGTTTTACCGCTCTGCCTCTTCAGGCTATTCAGTACCATTAATGGCTATAAAGAGTGTTCTGTGTCAGAAAGTACATTACCTCTCCTTAGACCGGAACCATCGTTGTATCACTGTCCCAGCCACACTTAATGTAGTGAATTGATGATTTAGGAGAATTCTACCTTTTGCCTGCCTGATCTACGCTAAATGAGCATTGCAAATCATTTAGAATAACCCTTTTTGCTTTACAAGCTGAAATACTGTCACTCCCAATAAATTTATGTGAGCTACAATTCACAGAATGTTGGTTTTATGTTAAGATATATTGCCGGCCTTTTATAGGTTGGCTGAGTACTTGGGAGTGTGTTCTTTCCCTCCTTGGATTTCTGTGACAATGTTGAAAAGTTGAAAAGAATGTTTGCAAAATTGTATTTCCAGGTTTTGGCTGGGATCCAAATAGGCTCATGGAGGAGTCCTAAAGGGCTTCCCTACCCTTCGAGGATGTTTGAGACAGTTGTTTTTTTCCATGAAATGCCAGCTCAAAAGGTCCCCTGGGTTTTGGGGGTGGTTTTTCAGGAAGGGGAGTATGGCGTGTAGGGAGGGGTGTGAGAAAGATACTGTGCATACATGGAAGTCATCTTATCCTTCTGTTAGCTTTCAGGCCTTTTCATTTCTTCCTACAGAGCTAATAGGAGCCATGGAGAGATTCTGCTCCTTAATAGGTGGAGAACCAGCCTTACATATGACAGCAGGTTCACCTTTTAACCTTTAACGTTGTACACCTTTCATGTTGTGCACCATTAAGATGTACACCTTTTGTGTGCCGTTAACTTATTTAAGTTTAACATTATCATGAAAGCCAGCTTTCTCAGTCACCCAATTTTGAGTGCAGGTGACACTGGGACTTCTTCTCCAGAAGTTTGTGTTTAGGAGTGCAGCCGAAGGTTGCAACCTTATACTCACTTAACCAGAGTAAGTCTTACTGGACTCTCTTGTGCTTACTTAAGAAGGCATGTCTGGGATCACACTATAAGAATCTTCCCTTTGTTTGCAGTTTCGGCAACACACAAAGAAACGAAGCAGTTCTTTACCCTCTACAACACACTGGATGATAAGAAAGTGTATTTGGAAAAAGAGGTAAGCTGCCTGATCAGATGTTCTAGCTGACCACAAATCCCCACCCGCCGTATAAGCCGTTATTTTATCAATAAGGAGAACTATGGTGAATATATTTGGGTTCCTGTTTGGTTTTTCCTGTCTGTTCTGTAAAAGGGTTTTCCTTAAGACAGGAGTGGATGGGGAACCCATGGTGCTCCTTGATGTTGCTGGACTACAGGTCCCATCTCCCCTGACTATTAGCTATGATGGCTGGGGCTGATGGGAACTGGAGTCCAAACGACATCTGGAGGGCAGCAGGTTCTTCCCCCAGCAGGTTCTTAGTGGGGGGAAATCATTAGTGGGGGACATCACTTCACAGGATTATTCTTTTTTAAGAATTGCACAATGCTTTTGTGTGCTGCATAGCGTTAATTAGTTCTAATGTAACTCAGCGTGGGTAGAATGTCTCCTCTGTCTCCTCCACATAGGAGTTCTTGCCAAAAAGTTAAATGGCAAGGTGTAATTATATTACTCTCACCCTGCACTGATGAGAGCGAAGCCAGACATAAATTCAGAGATGCCTCTTAATGAGAAGGCATTATTTCTATAACCGATGTGCAGTTAAAATATTCATTATCTTTTCCTTTCCTTGACGTGATTATGACAGCACTGAGAATATAGTTATTTTAAAAGTCGTCTTTTAAAATGCTAAGTGTTAAATTGATAAATACTGCCTGACTGTGTATCAAGAGCTCAGTGGTATCGAGCATGTGCTCTGCATGCAGAAGATCTCAGAATGCAGCATGCTCAGTCCCTCCTAACATCACCAGGAAGGGCAGAGAGAAAACCCTGCCTACAGTCCTAGAGAGCCCCCTGCCAGTTGGTGACCATACTGAGATGGATAGACCAATTGTCTGACTGTAATAGTCTGACTCTAAGGCAGCTTCCTCTGTTCCCAATGGTGAATTGAGATGTCATGGAATTGTGGGCCAGCTAGATTCTGCTAAATTTGCTTATTGACGCCTGATTATACAAAAAGTTGTGGTCTTCAAAGGCTAAAGCAAACATGGAGAAAAACAAGTGAATTGGAGGAATGTGTGTGCTTTTGTGTGAATGCATGGACAAGGAAGCCATATTCCTGTAACCCACTTACAATTTTTTGTTGTTGTTAAGTGGCGTACATAAATCTTGTCAAATAAATAAATAAAAAACCCAGGTTGACTCCTGAATGGGATTCTCCTAGCCAAAGAGGATTTCCCATCTCCTGCTTCAGCCCTCCAAGAAGGCCAGCAGATCCTAATTCATGGTATGGGATGTGCTGAGGAGAATTCAGTGGGGATGGAGGTCACAGAGATTGATTATAGGGGGCTGGTCTGAAGTGCATGGATTAAATCAAACAGTGGATTCTAATGCGGGCCTCCTCAGGTAATCGTGTCAGAATGCAACTGCTTCAAGGCTTTTGCTAAAAAGAGGTCAATACATTATGAACCTTCCTTCAAACTGACTTGAGACAATTGGTCCATCTATCCTGATTTTGATTCTTCTGACAGGCAGCAGTTCTCCAGGGTTTTGCTTTGAATAAAGTGAAGCATGTGATTGATTGCCCTGTTGAATTTGGCAATGTGTTGTCTCGTGTCAAGTGTTATTTATAAAGGGGCGGGGTGGAGGGGGAGACCCATGGTTTCTTTGAAGACCTGCTGTGGTTTGCATTGTTATGCCGCGTAAATAGGAAACCGATTCTGTTCTTTCCAGCAGCTAATGCAAGGCAAGAAAAACGCTAGTGGAGCAAAAAATGTGCAATAGCACTCTGTGAGGCAAGGAGAATTTTTGTCTACAGCTTAGTCCAGGGTTGTCACCCTTTTTTTTTGCCATGGGGTGTGTGGCAAAACACAAAATCAAGAGTACAGTCATTGCTGCCCAGAATTCACTGGGGTTTTGTAACTCTGTGGTTGCATATCCCTTTGTACATGGTACTTTAATTTTTTATGAGGTGGCTTTGATAATGTTTTGATAAATAGGATAGCAGCAGCCCAATATTTATTTGAACACATATGCTAGCTGTGAGGAGCACAAAATGTAGAATATATGCTCCTGAAAAGATAAAAGATAATAGGTACACAATTTATCTGAAGTCATCTAAATTCCCTACCAACACATGTTTGTGTGTAATGCTCTGAATACCCTCACACTGTTGTATTTCAAGTACTGTTCTTAGGGTAACATATTACTGGTTCATTAAATGCATGTTCATTACTTCATGTCTGAAAGTATGTGTGAATACAATGAGAAATTTGTGGTAACCCAGTGAGGCCTCAGATACAATGTTTTTGAACGAGTTGGTTCACGCACATTAAACTGCAAATCAGGTAATTTAGTGCAGCAAAGTCTGTATGATCATGCATTAGCCAAGCTGTATCATTTTCTGAACCAGCCCTATTGCTTAAAAGGCATTTGTTTTTTTACATGGAAAACTTTGCATAAAAATGCAGATCCTTGTGTTTGTCTTTCCCAGGTTAACTTGTTGAATTCAATTCATGACAACTTCCAGCAGTAAGTAGTCCTTTCTTTTTTGTGGGTACAGCCTTTACTAACACAGCTTGGCCATTTCACCTCCCTTACCAGCCATTGATTTAAAGAAACAGTCACATGTCTTTACAATCTTTCCAGAAGTTTCAATGGTCCATACTCTTAAGAAAAAAATTAAAGTCATGTATCCCATTCAAGAAATTATGCATGTCACATTATGCTCCTAAATGGTTCATGTAATACTTGTTTCAGTGCCTTTTCTCTGAAAGTATGACAGTATGCTGCTTCTTGTTTTTCAAGGGGAAATATAGAAAACAGTCCTACATTATTATTTCTTTTGTCAGACAAAGGCACACTTTAATAGGCTAGCCCTAAAAATTCTGTCGAAATCAGTGGGACTTGAATAAGCATCACTGGGATCCAAAGAGACCAAGTTTGTCTTTTCTGTCAACTGCAAGCAAAGTTTGACTTCCCTGATTTACAATTTAGGCTGCAGACATATTGCGTGGACTCTTACTCTTTCCACAAGTGACCCATTCTCCTTTGTCTAATGCCCTCGTGCCATTCTCATTTCAGAGCCATGGCTTCTTCTGGTGCTCGAGACCAGTTTCTGCGGCAAATGGAACAAATCGTAGAAGGAATTAAACAGAATCGAATGAAGGTTGGTTTATTATTTTTCACATAAGTTTTGATGGCGTTTCTTCTTAGACAATGAAATACAAACCTACAGTACATCTGGAATATGCATTCATTCCTGGGCTGCTACAATATGCTCATTATTACCCTGTGAGCATACTGCAACATTCTAGCAATTGAAACCCAGTGGTTGAAGATGCATCTCTATACCAAGCACAATGGAAATGATTTGGATTCATAGACTTGGTCCTGAAAGCAAATGCCTTGGAAGATAATCTGGTGTGTGTTGTGTTCCTCCATCATGCAGCCTTCACCTGTTAAAACACATGAACAGTTCTTATCCCAGATCACATATCTGCCAAAATTCCCTTGCATTATTCTTTAAATTACCCCCTTTTCTTTCATTCACAGAAATCCTTCCTTCAAATAAATGGCCATTCTCAGTTTTTAGATTTAATGATTTGTAACTAAGATGTGCTGAATAGAACAAGGGATAACCTAAGGTGTAGGAAAGCCACTATTATTTAGGGTAGGCAGTACTACTGCACTTGATAATTTGGCTTGACTCTGGCAAAGGCAGCTCAATATCTGAGCACAGAACATCTCTGACTAAAGATAAAACTTGGATTTAAATTAATTAGTCAAGCTTATAAAGTTTCTCTAGTCTAGTGGATGGCATAGTAAAAGGAAAAATAAACCCAAGGGAAGTTTGATCATCTTGCTATCTCTGCATTGAAAAGACCCCCTGTAGATGTTCTCCCGTGGAAAATGCTGAACCTTTAAAAAAAAAACCAACAAGCTTCTTTGCTACAGCCACTCTCACTCAACAAAGTGGAAGGTGTTTCCTTCTTGCTTGCCATTTTTTAAACTCATCCCATTGGGGTGAAACAAGCACTTCTAGCACAAAGCACCAGTGTGGGCCATATACAGTGGGTTGTCCAGAAGGGAATCTGGCTCAAGTCAGTACACCTGTCGAAACCACAATACAGGTATCCTTGAACGAGATAGTATAGGAAAGAAACATCCCATGAGCAGAAAGGCAAAAATTCACTTGGGTCTTGATTTTCATTTATGAATGCAGACCATGAAGGTGGGGCCTCATGAGTTACCTTACTTTTGAGATTTTAAGCGAAGGGGTATTGGAAAACCTTCACCACAAGATAACTGACTTGTGGCAATGAAGGTTTCATAGTGATTTCACTTTTTAATCCTTTGCTATATTTCTGCTCTTTCCTAGTTGTACACTACCAAATGTTTCTACTGTTGGAACAGATGCTGGGAGCACTTGTTGTTTATCTGGTGTTTTGTTTTTTTAAGAGAGGAATGGGGGAATGCTGGAGGATTTCGTTTTTGGTCTTGCGCGTTGCAAGGTATCATAATACTTTCCCCTCATTACCAACAGATGGAAAAGAAGAAGCAAGAAAACAAAATGAGAAGGGACCAGCTCAATGATGAATATCTGGAGTTACTGGAGAAACAAAGACTCTACTTCAAAACGGTCAAAGAATTTAAAGAGGTAAATGGGACATTGGTGGTTGTGGGGAGAGAGAGAAAACACGTACGCAGAGATACTTTGTCTCAAAAGCTCTGACCATGATGTCCCATCTCCCCCACCCCCCAATCACCTAGCGCTGTAAGTTTGTGGGCAAAATGCAGATTAGCTGTTCACAACTTGGTACCCTGCAGATGTTTGGTGCTACAACTCACATAATCTCTGTTAGCCATAGGGATGAAGAGTTAGTCCTAAACACAGAGGGCATGAGGTTCAGAAGGGCTGGTGTGAATGATTCTAGGTAATATAATTGGTAGAAGGCGGCTAAGAACAATCAGATGCATTCGTCTGTTTTTTTCAGATATTCTTATTTTCCAGCATAATTCATACGGACCAATCCCATCCAGCACCTTTTCACTTTAACAGTAAATTCCACCTGCCTTGCCTTCCGAATTACCTACAGCATGTGTTAAAAGACAGACAGCTGATTTGGGCTGTAATCCTATATGTTTAGTTTGAAATAAGACCCACTGAATTTAATTACCCTTCCTTCTTTGTAGCCATGCAGGTTTGCACTGTTAGTATCATCTTTTAACTGACATGTCTTGTTTAATATTTTAAATCTTCTATCTCTTTGTTTATCAACAGGAATGCCGCAAAAATGAAATGCTTTTATCCAAGCTGAAAGACAAGTGTTCTTGAAGAACTTCAGACAGCAGTTCATTTATATGATTGAATTCATTTTCATTCTGATCCAGCCCAATGACTAGATGTATTCCTTTTTGAGATTTAATGCAGTATAGCAGTTCAGAAAAATTATTTGATTGTCTTTTTATATATGCACACACATATAAAGTAAAGTGACACTGTTTTGTAAATGATTTACCTTTGCACTAGTTAACATTTCATGTGCACTAGAAAACATATATTATGTGTTAAACAATAAATATGTATAAATCAAAAGCTCCAAATTCGTTTGGCTGACTAACTTGCTTTCTAAGCTTTTTTTCTTCTTGTATTCACGATAAAAAAACCTTCTTCACTAACAGGGATGTGTGCAGATATTGATGTTTTGCCCATTTCTCTGACAAGCTACAACATTGGCATCTGAAATTCTGCCCAAAGCATAGAAACCTTCAGCACAAATGACAGAACCTGATAGGATTTAGAAAATTCTAAAAGAGCTGAGTTCACTCTAGAAACAACACATGTGCTAGCTGAAGACTGAAAGGGGTCCCAGACTGCAGAGGTAAATGGGCTGAAAAAAGTGCAAATGCCTTGACTGAATCCAAGCACCCCTGCTTCCAAAGTTGGCAGTAGGGCTCCTTTTGCAATGAGGGTGGTGGTGTATGTGGGGTACGAAACAATACAAGCAAGGGAATCAGACGTTCCCTCTGAACAAGCAGACAGCACTTCTAGTCACACAACAGATCTGTGTTTCCTTGTATTCTTCATACAATAGGGACACACCTGCCTGCAGTCCCCTACATTGCGTAATATACCTTTTTGAAGGGTTGTCTGACCAACAAGCAGCTTAATATGTGTGGATATTGAGAGTCTGCAGCAGGTAATGGTGGTGGGGGGACTTGATATAGGCATAGTTTTCAAACCAAGCTGATGCAGATGTTTCCTCCTGTACCAGTAAACTGATTTAAAACAAACAAACAAAACCTCCCAGTCTCTACACCTGGAGAGACTAGGATCTTGAGGTAGCCTGGAACCTCTAAGCAATAGTTTAAAGCTTGAGAATTCAGTCTGCATTGATGTCACCAAAGTATATATTGCATGCTGTTGTTGTTTAAAATATATTTGACAATTAAGTTAATTTATACTGACTAAGCTATCAAGACTCATTTTAAAGAGCCTGATGCCAACTTTGCATTGATCTTAAAACTGAGGTAATAGCTGAACATGCAGCTGAGTAAAAGAGCTTTATCCCAGCATAGTAAAACATATGTGTGATGCCGCAAGAAAAGATTGCACTTATTGTTCATTAAATACACATTAGTATTTTTCTGGAAGAAAAGAACACCAAGAGTTTGCCAAAGTATGGTGGTAACCACTAAATGAATCTGAAGGAAACCAGTTGATGCAATATGTTTCCCGCTCTTTGCAGAGCGATACACTGTCCTCCCCAGTTGCCATTCAATGTTCAGAGTCACGATTTTCCCCATAAAATGCATTTAGCACTATGCTAACAGGGCTAAGACATAAACCACATGCTGGCTACATGTAGGCAAATCCAGTCCAGTTAATAGGGTCATTTGCAGCTACTAAAGGAAAGTTTCCACATAATTATATTTCCCCCAATACGACTGATTTGAATGGAAGGCTCTGGACTTGCTAACGGGGAATTTTTAGTTTCAATGCTCCCCCCTGTTGTAGACTTCAGAAAATTGCCTCCATCCTCTTCTTAACCCAGCACTTCCTTGTGCCATTTCACATGATTGTTTTTGCTCAATTTTGCTGCAATTAAAGTTTTAAAAGTTCAGCCATCCAAGTTCAATGATTCTTGTATCTTAGCAGTCAATGATCTTTATCCTGATTCATATCTGAAGAATTACTAAAGCAAACAAATACTGTTAGGGGTTTTATTTGTTGCTGACACTTTACTTACCTCCAGGCTCTCTGTATTGTAATGCCTTGTAATTCTTGTAATTCTTGTTTTTGGTGCCTTACTACACCCGCAATAAATGTTTCATAGTAAAAGTTATTGATGACACTAAAACTGGCCGTTGGCAAGGTCGGCGGTTCGAATCCCTGCGGCGGGGTGCGCTCCCGTCGTTCGGTCCCAGCACCTGCCAACCTAGCAGTTCGAAAGCACCCTCGGGTGCAAGTAGATAAATAGGGACCGCTTACAAGCGGGAAGGTAAACGGCGTTTCTGTGTGCGGCTCTGGCTCGCCAGAGCAGCGATGTCACGCTGGCCACGTGACCTGGAAGTGTCTCCGGACAGCGCTGGCCCCCGGCCTATAGAGTGAGATGGGCGCACAACCCTAGAGTCTGGCAAGACTGGCCCGTACGGGCAGGGGTACCTTTACCTTTAAAAGTTATTGATGACACTAAAACTGGCCGTTGGCAAATTAGCAGAACAACTTTAAAAATATGGTCTAGCCTTTACAAGGCAACACAGGACAGCTTGTTGCACAGGCTTAATTGTGATCGAAGTGGAGTTCTTAAAATTATTTGCTGCCTTTCATATAGGGAGCTGCAGCCAACTGGGCAGAAGGACTTTTGCAATGGTTAGAGATTTCTTCTCTAGAAAACTGGGCTACATTGCAATGGAGGGTGTGTAATGGGATATGTTTTTGATATATCACCCGTTCTTATTGCTTAATTCCCACAGTCAAGCAAAATATGCAAACGGGATTACCTAGCAAACAAAATTTGCGTAAATGAGCTTAGTACAATCCAATAGGTCTGGTAGCCAGGCTCCCCCCCCCCCATTGCTCTTTTTACCTCTGCCTCACAAAAAGGTTCTTGAATGCATTGTTGTAGTTTTTGTTAAAAGCTGTATAAATCAGAGGATTGAAGAAGGAGTTGGAGTAACCAAGCCAGAGGAAGATGCTTTTCCAGACTGGTGCTATGGTGCAGGAGCAGAGGGGGCTTATTAGTTCTGTGACAAAGAAGGGAATCCAGCAAAGTACAAACACACCAATTAAAATGCCAACCATCATAGCCGCTTTCTTCTCTTTCTGTTCTCTCCATGTTTCTCCATCTGTCTGGAAAGTGACAGTCGCATGACGAGCTGTAAACACCATCTGCGGCTGATGAGAAGCTTCTTTCACCTTGACATAAAAGCAAACAGGAATTATTACCAAGACAGTTTTGTTTAAGTAAAGGATTTCTACACACACACACACCCCTTCACTGCTTTTCAAATGACAGACCAGCTGTGCCCAAGCCCAAACTCTAGACTTCAACCAGTGTGTGTGTGTGTGTGTGTGTGTGTGTGTGTGTGTGTGTGTGTGTTTTGCAAGACTTCTGCTAGGGTGGAGGGAGGCAAGAGAAATAAAGATCAGGACAGAACTACATTGCCCCGTTATTCACTCCTGCAACATACAGCACAAACTACTGCTCAAATAAGTCACTACCTCAAATAGTCAAAATCCAAAGGCTGGTGAGGTCTTGTGCATGGATTTATACCTTTCAAGCCATTCTGCCCTAAACCTATTCCCCTTGCTCTCAAGCAGTGCAAAGTAACATCTGATGCAACACAAGGAAAGCAAAAATGGCAATGTCTCCAGGTGAACATCTGCACATAAATGGGCTTTTTAAAATCCTAGTCATACTGTTTGGCACTTTTGTTAGAGTGATCCAACGTTTGGCTAGATGGGAGAGCCAAAGGAAAACTGACCCTCTCTCCTCTAACCTATAGAAATGTATCCCCCTGTCCAAAGCGCGCGCACACACACAGCCCACAGACAGGGCACTACAGCAGCATCAATAACTAATGGAATAAAACATAGAATGAACAAGATGGGTTCTATCCAGTTCTTCCACTGCTAGATGTCTTTGAACTGACCGTCATCACATGAGAGCCCAGGGTGGTTTGATCTAGCAGAGGCTAACATCAACAGGAGAAAGCAAAAAGATTGTTTTTTTTTAATCAATTAACCCTTCCCTGTGGATCCCCTCCAAAAAAAGGAATACACTAGTCTGCCTCAAAATGTTGCACCCTCTGACTTGAATCATACAACACTGGAATGACCCCATCTGTTTGCTCTCTGAATGGCTAATATTGCTGGAAAATGTTACTGGAAAACTAAAACAACCACAAGCACCAGCAGCAGCACTGCAGGACTTGCCTGGTACTGGTTGATGAACAGTAATGAGGAGAAGCTCTGGTGCTGAACCCAGCTCCAATTAAGGGCTTCCGGGTGACATCCAATGATTTCCCCATGCTTGTGCAACAGAAATCCACTCATGCAGTGGGACGTCTGGTCCTTCTCCCACTTCAGCCCCGCCAAATCAGCTGGAGATGCTCCCATGTAGGGGAAGCAGCAGGGTAGTAAGGAGAAGCCTTTGTTGGATCTTACTCTTTGCGTGAGGCTTTACTGACAAACAGCAGAGACCCAACATGAGGTACAGCTCTTTCTGGGACTGCTCTGGCCTAAAGAATGCTCTGTCTGTCTGTCCTCAGCTTTATTCCAGTAATCCAACTACAAAGGAATGGACAAAACATAATCATTATCACTGAAGTGAGAAATTAATAGGCATTTAATGTTGCTTTGCCCAACTCAGGGTTCCATCTGTAAGGGCCTGGCTGTTTTGAACCTCTTTAGTATGAGAGGAGGGTAGCAGCCCCAGAAAGGCTAAGTGTGAGCAAAATGTCACTTATTATCAGTCATCAGGGTGGATAGTGCAGTCTTTCCCTACAGGTGAGAGACATGACTCTGAAACCTATGCTAGGAAATAGAAGGGCATTTATTTGCCTATTCCTCCTGCTCCTCTGCATTGCTATTCTCGTGATTCTCAACCAATAAATCAATGACTACAGATCTTTGCCCTGGATCTATATTAGTAGCCTAAGCAAATGCTTCTCTGTTGAACTTGCACAGGGGAAAAACCAAAATTGCTATAGTAACAGAAATTGGTAAGTGGGGCTGGGAGTATATTGCCAGTTTCACTTCAGACTTTACTGCCTCTAGGACATGCAGTAAATATAGTCTGCCTCACTGATTTGTTCTCCTTCCTTCTGCTTCAGGTGTTTCCTGTCATCCTGGACCCTTTTCTGCAGCCTCCTCTCCTTTGTATTTGCTTCTACCTGCATCAAAAGTCCTGGCAACCAGAACTGAGCACCCTGGTCTACTTTGATCCTAACATAAAAGGCTTGGCCCTGCAGATGATTAATTGCCAGGAATGTTAGCAAACCTTATCCTGCTAGCAACCTTACCTGTAGTGATCCCATTGATGGCAGTGGGACTACATTAAAACAAAATATATTGTCCATTTTATGTCCTAATTCTGTTGCATGTGCAAGGCCTACTGAATTTAAGGGGGCCTCCCCCCCCCATTCCTCCAAGCAGATATAGGGTTGAAGCCACAGTTACAAACAAACAAAAAACTGAATCGATTTCCTGTGTGCAAAGATTAGGGGCCCCTCCAGACAACCTGTTTATTGAGCATTCATCATGATTTGCTTGCACCAATCAGGAGATTAGATTATATTGTCTTTATTGAGCATTCATTCCGATTTGTTTGCTGCAATGAGCATTTGTCCTGCATTCCTGATTTGCTGGCAGGCTTTTTATACATCACCCCATTAATCAATTGTTCATCTAACACTTTTCATTGTGTTTCCCTGTCACTTTCCTAACAGTAGAAAGTCTGGGGATCATTATTTTTTAAGTGGATTTGTTGCACTAGGGCAATAGAACTCCTTAATCCGTTTAAAACGTGCAAGCCTAAAGTTCCTATGTGTGCTTGAGCCACTCCTGTGAAATAGCGATAGCTTGCAGGTACCCCAAGTCTTGTTAACTCTGCACAACACCTCTTCCTTTCCCAAAAGATAACATTGGCTCAATGTTTCTTATTGCTTGTCCATTCCTTCTATGTTTTATTTCAATATTGAAACAAGGACACAGTGAATAAAGAACTCCAACAAACATATTTCCAAAAATGTGCAGAATGTCAATGACCTATTTCTATCTGGAATGTGACTAATCAATCTCCTTCATAGATCATATCAGAATACCAGGAAAATGAAGAACCCAACTTCGCAGTCCTTGCCCAGGCAAGTTTGATTACACTAGAAGAGAGTGCAGTGACTATCACTCTGCTCACTTGAAGCATCAGTAGCACTAGTAGCTGGCATTGTTAGTTATAATTAAAACTGCTCCACTGTAAAGCCAAGCACGAAAGAAAGGTTTCAAGACAGTGGTGTGCACACGATGAAATAAAAAGACAGGCTTAAAATAAAGAAATTCATTTTGGGTTGGGACTGTATATAAGGACCTTTTGCCTATCAAGAAAGGAAAATGGACTGGGGATAGTGGAGCGCTTTCCTAATCAAGGATGCTAAGAGACTTACCGGTATGCTGTAATCCTATCCAAATTTACATAGAAGAAAGGCCCATTTAATTCAGCTGAGGTTACTTTGACATAAATGTGAGTAGCAACCTGCTGTTGCTTGCAACAACTAGATCTGTATGTGCATTCCCCAAAATGTAACCGTTATATTCAGGTGCCAATTCACACATTCAGATAAATTGAAAGTTGCAAAACACGCAACAGCTTTAACATGATAATACACTAATCTAATAAAGGCAGCACCATTATCTTTGCTGCACCTTCCCCTCCCACGTGGTGACATGATGAAGATCCAAGGGCCCCTTGGGGTTTACGATCCACAATTCCCTCCGCCCTTGCTTAATATGATAAGAAGTATTTTTCAAGTACTATTAAGTATTTGCCTTAAGAAATGAAGATTTTTGTCCGACACATCAAGTTGCAGTTTACCAAAACATTAGTAACGTGGTGCATGTTTACTCAGAAATAAGTCCCACTAATTTTCAATGGGGCTTAATCCCAAGGACTGCACTCTCAAATTTCAGCACACACATTCTCTTGTGTCTGTGTATCTTATTTCCAGACACAGCATTATACAAATTTTGTTTTTAATATCACAAAAAATGGTATCTATCAAAGCTCTTTCTCTGTCTACAAAAAAAAGCAAATGATTGCAAACTTGAGAATTATGGAGGCAATAACATAGGAAATGCAATTTTAAAAAAAG